AGTGCATATTATGGTCAATAGAGGTTCTTGGTGTTGATCCACTTTTCACTGCAGCCCCAGCACTTTCCAGCTCATTTTGGAAGCAGATGGAGCCACTCTTTCGGTTTGTATCTGATGCAGATGTGGCCTATTTGAAACAGAAGGTTGTGGCACTTCGCATCTTCAGAAGCTTTTTGCATTATAATAGGATTACTAGCTTATCACTGAGCTCTATGCTATTTTAGAAATTGGATGATCTGATAGATTGACCTGTCTGCAATATTTAGTTTCTTATTATTGTCACTGGATGTTTTTGTTTTCTGAGATGGTATAAGATTTGGACATGGTAGTCTTTTGCTTACAATTTCTATTGAATAGTTCTCTTGGTCGCCCTAAGTTTATCCCCATATTTGAATATGTTTCTTTGCATTTTACTTTCCCCTTTGGCCTAATCTGTTTGACATTGTAGTTCTGCATACGGTTTCTATTGGATAATGTTTGAGTACACTAACTTCATCCCTCAGTTTGAATATGTCGCTTTTGCTTTTTACTTTTACCTTTTGACTGATCTGTTTGGGCCTTGCTTCCCATTTCTATGCTGTTAAGCTTACTAATAAGATGTTTCAACTGAATGCAAAGAAAGAAAGAAAGTAATCCATCTACTAAGTGACTGCAATTTCAAATTTGAAGAATTTATTTGTTCTGGTGTTTAATTTTTATTTTGATTGGAGTTGATCCGCCCTTGTCTTTTCTAGTATATAGCATTTCAAAATGGCCAACTTCTTTCACTTTTTATTAAAAATCAAATGTGAAGTTTCATTAACAAAAGTAGAAATTTATGACAAATTGGAACCATTAACTATTGACTGCTGATTGCGAATTAATGAATTGTTTGAATCTCTAACTTTGATATTTTCTTTCCTAATGAAGCAGGTAAGAAAATAGAAATTGATGCATGAATATCAAATTAAAAACCCCTTTCCATTTCAATTATAACAACAATTACAAGCATCTGTAAAAATCCGAGCAGAAACTGTTACACAGATGTCTAATATCTTATTTAGATATGTTATACCTTGGCTAAAAGGAATTCGTAGAAAATTTTCATGTCTCCATTTTATTTTTAATTGAATAGAAAATAGAATTTTCTATTATTTTGATAGAGCACAACATGTCTTGTGTTTCCCCCCGCCCCCCAACAACCAAAAAAAAAAAAAAAAAAAAAGAACTGCAATACAATAAATGAGAAAGGGGGGATATTAATATCTGCGTCTGTGTAAAGTCAAGTGGCATTTGCATTCTCAACTATTTTTCTAGTCCACAAAATTTAGTTTAGTTGTTATTGAATTTTCCCCTTGCAGGTGGAGTTTGAACCAACCACGGTGTCACCCATGGTAGCATCTTCAGGGATGGTAAATCCTAGTTCAGTGTCCAATGGTTTTGGGGGTAATGAAATTGAAAGACGACTTAAAAGACAATATAGTGAAGATACCCAGGAGCATTTATCCTCTGCCACAAAGACTCTTGAGGATGTCTCCCTCTACCAGAGACTGATTTCAGCTCTCATTCCTGAAGGAGATGAACAATTTTGCCACAATGAAAATGAAGACATCAGATTTGATGGTTATGAGTCTGGATTTGAGCCTGAGACAAATGTAAAATCAGATAGTTTCTGTTCTCAGCTCTCTCAAAACTCTGATTTATCAGGAAATCCTGCCTCTAATGGTTATTGCATAAGTGCTAACGGGGGATCCTTTAATGAGCTCAAACATATTATGCCAGACAATAGCAGTTTGTCCATTCCAGACGCTAGAATTCCAAGCTACAGAAATTCACAAAATGGTTTCCCACCAGACCAAGCACTGACGCCTGGCATTAACTGCACTGAGGGTCAGTACAGTAGTATGTCGATAAATGAAAGACTTCTCCTGGAAATTCATTGTATTGGAATCTTTCCTGAATTTGCGGTAGGGTTGCTTTTCTTCGTGTTTTCTTGTTAGCAACTTATGCCTTGTTATAGTGCCCTTTACTTCATTATACTTACCTCTATTCCCTTGATTCTTCTGTCAGCCTGATTCTGCAAATTCTGGGAATGAAGAGATCTCTACAGAAATTAGTAAATTGAATGAGATTTACTATGAACAGGTATCATCTGATTACAATTAGAGTACTCTCTCTCTCTCTCTCTCACAATGTGTCTTCCTAGTTTTATGTCATGAGGTATGCTCATAGATGTGTTTTAGGTGGACTATGCTATTCCTTTTTCATGTCTTTTTTGTCTTTGTTATATGGGGTTGGGCATTGGATGTTATGACTTTCATAAGCTAGGCCTTGTTGTCTTCTGTATTTCTTTAGCTTGATTGGCAGATGTGTTTTGGTATGTTGTTCCATTAAACTCCAATTGTAGACTATTCTCAAGGAGTTGTAGAGCATAATTTTATGCAGATTCTCTATTTCCACTTGTGTTTGCCATAGTGTGATGCAGCCCTTTGTATTTTTCACGGTCGGGATATTGAGAAACTATTTCTTTCAAGATCATCTTACAGTTGTTTAATGGTGTTTAGGTTTCAAAAAGGAAGGGTTTAGTTAGCAGACTGCTGAAATCTGCTGTTGACACCAGAGAGCTTCAAGACAGGCAAGGATATTTTTATTTACTTTAGCCTCTTAATGTGTATCATGATGCTAACTTAAGTTCTTTAATTCTATTGTAGGGAGTTTGAACAGCATGCTCTCAACAAACTTGTAGTAATGGCTTATGAGAAATATATGGTAATTTTGATTGTTTTACATCCTTATTTTGATATGCTGCTTTGGAAGTTGACATATGTGTTCATTGCATTTTCATTGTCTGTCTGATGAATTGAAGAGTGGATGTTAGGTCTTGTTCCAACTGCCCTATTAATGTATTTTGGATGTTGAAGCATAAAGTTGCAACACGTTTTCATTGTATTTGCAGACTTGCTGTGGTCCTAATGCTCATGGGATGAAAAGTGCAAATGGTAAAATGGCCAAACATGCTGCCTTAGCTTTTGTAAAGAGGACATTGGAACGTTGCCAAGAATATCAGGAAACTGGAAAAAGCTGCTTTAATGAACCCTTGTTCAGGGACATTTTCATTTCTGGGTGCTCCCAGCTTGGTGATGTCCAAGCTGATGGTGAATCTGACAAACATGAAGTTAGACCTTCAGGTACTTTTTTGTTGATGCCTGGACTACAAGGATGGGAAGGGGTGAGGAACTTGGGACTTGGAGCTTGCTTTGCTGCTGTCAGACTGCAGTGGTTTTGTGCCATTTTCTAGACTTTTGACTGGATTGTGATGTAGCATGTTCTTGTTTCAAGGGTGATGGTTATGATAATAATTTAGGAATTAGAAGAGGGTAGTATCTAAATAGGTGGTGGAAAGGAATAAGACAACTTATGCTTCATACCTAAACAGAAGAGGTATTTATTATTTTGACTTTCTAAATTTGGACATACATTGGTGCTATACATGAACAACTAAGGTAATATGGTGGTCAAGGTGGTCAACTGCTGCTATACTGGCGGACGGTTGGACTCCCAGCCTTGGGTTTGGCTATAACTTCTACTAATATAGTAGTCCCTGATAATTCTACCTATGCCATAGTAGGGCTGCTACTACAGTGTATTATTGAACACTAGGTAGACAACTGTTTTGCCCACCTAGGATGTGACAAACAACACATGCTTAACACTAAAGTACATACACTGAATTAAGCAATAAACCACAATTTGAAGTCCTAAATCAATTCCAGTCTTAGATATTTTTTAGCTTAAGTTTTATTTTGATGGCTTTGGTTTCCTGCATATTATTATCTTTTCATACGTGTATATAAATGCTCAGCCAGTATTATTTCTCTTTCTGCAGCTTCTACATGTGCAGAGCAGAGCCCTTCTTCAACCAATCATGACATGTTTTCTGATAACCTCCTGTCTGCAAATTTAGCTTCAGAACAAATTTCTGGTAAGGAAGAGACCTGGTCAAATAGGGTAAAAAAGAAGGAATTGTCACTTGATGATGTTGGTGGTGGTGCAATTGCCATGTCACCAGCTGTCACACCAGGTATTGGGAGTTCATTTTCAAGCGGTACGAAGGGAAAGAGGAGTGAAAGAGACAGAGAAGGAAAAGGTAGTAGTAGAGAGGTTATATCCAGAAGTGGAACAACCAAAATAGGCAGGCCTACATCGGCTAAGGGAGAAAGGAAGTCTAAGACAAAACCAAAGCAGAAAACTGCACAGTTGTCTGCATCAGTCAATGGCCTTCTTGGGAAGATCTCTGAGAAGCCTAAAGTTACCGTACCTTCAACGCAAAAAACAAGTAATACAAGCTCAAGTGGCATGGTCAAAGATAAAAATGACTATGGCTTGGATGAACTAGAAGACCCTATTGATTTATCCGGCTTGCAGATCCCTGAAATGGATGACCTAGGTGTCGCTGATGATTTTGGAGGTCAGGGACAAGACATAGGATCATGGTTGAACATTGATGACGATGCATTGCAAGATCATGATTTTATGGGCCTTGAAATTCCAATGGATGATCTGTCGGAACTAAATATGATGGTCTGAAGTTGCTTTTGTTGTATATTCCTGTTCAGTATAAATCACAGAGGAAAACATCGTTGTTACCAAGAAATGACCAGTTACACGGAGATTGTGTGGCGGTCAATATGAAAATTAAGCTATATTTTTTTTCAGATACTAGTGCACTAGTTGATTTTTGAGTGAACCCTTACAATGTGTTGATTTAGTTCCATTTTCACGTTTTTGACTTCGACTGTAAAAATCTTTTTGTTCACCCTATAAGCTAGTTTGTCTTAGCAGCACTGTATTTGTTTGTAGTGCTTATAGATCAGAGAACAATGTCCTTGTACATAGAATTTATGTTCTAATAAAATTCGTTTTCATTGGTTAAATTAAGGTGTTTTCTGACATTACTTGCGTGAATTTTACAGTTTCTGTGCTTGGCTAATCTTTATTTCAAGCTTTATTTTCCATAAATAAGAACTAGTTGTTCAATTACATGGCTTTTGCGTGGTTGAGATTCCTATTGATAGTGTTTCTAGTTTCTTTTGTTTTCAGGATCAGGGAAGGATCATTCAAGTGGAGATACGAACAGTAGGGATAATGATTTAGCGGAGTATCAATCTCCTTGCAGGTGTCCTTTTTGCAGCATACTGGTTGTATGCAGAAAAGAGGTTAACCTGTTTGTGATAGACCAAACCAGGATACAAGTTGTTTACTGCCCATCCTTCTGGAATCAAATAATGTTTCTTCTGTCAGATGCTGCACTTGCGCAGCTTATTGCAGAAGTTGGAACATTGCCTTTTTTTCCAGAATGAATATGCTTTTGAGAACACAAAACTGGTATGTGCTCCTTGCTTTTCTCATTGTCTGCATCTGTTTGTTGTGAGGAAATAGTGCCTTTAATTGACTTTGCTGGAATTAAGTTCTCTTGACAGCTTTATTGGATTTTCCATGACATTCCACAGTGCTGGGATTCTTTTGGCACAAGTAAATACCTATAAATGCTACAGGTGTTTGTACAGCTTTGTGGCCATGCAGCTTAAAGGTATTATGCCCACAATTATTTTCAGACTCTGAACTTGCTACTATCAGTTAAGTAGGCAGAATTATATGAGTCTGTGGATTCAGGATCCTGTTCTTCACCTCTTGACCTTTTGGTGTTTTTTAAACTTTTGTAGAAGTTCATGAAGGAGGCTGTGTTCTAGTGTCAGAAATGACTTACGACTGGAGGTCCAAACCAAAGAAATTCAGATACAAGTTCCAGCAGTGTATTGTTTCTCAGTATTTCATTAAGGATGTTAGATTGGAAGATTTCTTCTTCAACATTATGTTAGAACTTAATTTGCATGAACTTTCTATCCTGTTAATGTTAGCCATATATTCTGCGAACTTTCTCCTGAAAACTCCATATTTTCTGATGGAGTTTACTCGTCTAAGTCTAAACTGAAGCCCTTCATCTGATATTCCTTTTGCTGGCTGCAAGGTATTGATAATTTGGTATGTCCATGCAGGGTTTGAACCATTTTCAGAACAATAGCTGGCGTGGCAGCTTCTTGTGACTATAAAATCTCTCTCTCTCTCAACAACTCCCCCCCCCCCGGGGGGTCTAATACTTGGTGTGACTTTTTGAAGAATCTCTCTCCACATTCTCAATCTTCTTTATGTAATGTGATATTTGGTGCGAGATTTTGTAATTCAACTTTATACCAATATACTTTTGTCCCTTGCGTCTTGTGGACAACTATTCAGGTTTCTCAAGTGCTACAACCTTGAAATGTTTTTGTCTTACTGCTGCAGGTGTTCAAGCTGCCACGTTTATCTCCTATCATCCTTTCCAATTCCAAACCAAGAAAGAAAAAGAGATTTCATTAAGCAAATTTCATCTGTTCGATTTATTGAAGAGTGCCAGCTTTTGTTTGATCTATGTTAGGTCGACCTGATTTGCCCCATCTGCAGTATGCCCCATAAGAGATTTCCTGATGAGATGGATTTCCTCTGTGGAATTTTTTCCGTATCATTCACTCTTACATTGTTATATTATGTTTTTCAGCTTCTGACTGTGTCTGGCAATGAATATGTGGTAAGATGTCTTTTTGGCTGTCAAATAATTAACAAACCTGCTCTTTTGTTTCTGCTTTTTGTTTACTCTGTATTATTGATGGTTAATTGCAAAAGGAAATTTTCTATTTCACAAGGTTAAGGAATTGTCAGTTTGATATTTCACTTAATACATATACTTTTTGTTGAGTGGTTCTTGCACACATTTCATGTGCTCATCATACAATTATGTAATGTATACACATCTCATCCTGCCATAAAACTGTAGACAAACTATCCACAGCTTTACTGTGAGATTGGGTATGCTCAACCGCATTGGGTTCATAAAGTTGGCTTAGCATTCTAGTGCATTGTCTGAATGGGCTTTGAGATGGGTTCTAAGCTTGTTGTTTGAGCTTGAGAAGCATTATGCAAACAATTAGAAAGTGTTGCTGAAATATAACAGATTCTTTAGCTTAGTGAGAAGGATAGCCTTAATCTGGTTTAGACGTCTTAATCCATATGGAGATATTTTCTGTAATAGCTGTTATTAGTTTATATATGTGTGTGTGTGTGTGGAAAAAATGTGGTTTACAGCTGTGGGGCTTCGACCGACTCTCAAATCATTGTGATCTACAGCTAACGGACTTTTTCCAGGGTTCTGAAAACTTGTTTGCATGATTTTTTTTTGTTTTTGTTTTGGTTTTGATTTGTTTGTCTTTCCTTTTTCCTTTTCTGGTTAGGTGCAGTTATCCAAGGAAAAAGGAGCATTGCCATGTTCCTTGGATAACTGCACCTAACCAGGAGGAATGATGTCTGACGGATATTTCATGCGAGCTCTTGTTATTTTCTGGGATAAACTCACAGGATGTCATTTGATGTTTTTGTCTAAACCGAGCTAAGACATTAAATGGCAAGAGGATCTATATTTCGGCTAGCAGCAGCATTTCTGTACCATGTTGTGCTACCTACCTGCCGCACCATTGAACCAATTCACCCATTTTCTAATGCAGTGATAAGGAGGATGCATTTGGTATGGGGTTTATATGTTGTATTGTGACAAGTAGCATACTGAGGGATGATGCCTTGTAATTTTTGAATTCTCGTAGTTGTGAGGCTGTTTAGCTCAATTTAACAGTTTTTTTTTTTCTGCTCTTATATCGTATTCACCCCTTTTATGTGTAATTTGGTGAGTAATTTTTGTGTTCTTATAGTTGAGTTTAGTCTGTGGTTGACTATTACTCCTGCCTTTCTACCATAGTTTAGGCAAGTCTGTAACTAGGGAATCGTTTGGATCGAGGATTTTGGATCGTTTGGATCGAGGGAATGGGACGAATGGAGAGGATTTTGGGGGAGTTTAGTTTTTTCTCCCTTTTGTTTGGACTGCATTTTGAGGCTGGAAAGAGGAGCAAAGGAACGGAAAGGATTCAAAATGTTTTTATTAGATTTGATTTCCATCTAAGAGTGGGCGGAAATAATGGGATGAGGTATCAAATTTACTGCAATAATTTAAATTTTTTTAAAAGTTTTTCTCCTCTTAATTTTTTATTAACTAATATTTTTATTTTTCCTTTCCTTTCTTTTCCTTCCTCAATCTAAGCAAAACTGTAGTGTTTCCTTTCTACTCCTTTCATATTTAATCCAAAGGCAAGTGGGAACGAAATTACTTTCTTGTACTTACCTTCCTTTTCCCTCCCATTGGTGTCGTTTCCTTTCTTTTTCTTCCCTTTCCTTCAATTCAAATGGTGCCTAAAAATGCATTTTATAAAACTCAAATTTGAAATTTGAAGTCTGAAATCATTAAATCATTAAATTATTAAATCGTTAAATATTAAATTTAATACAGTTGAGTGTATATCACATTTAGTGATAAGTAAAAAACTTATTATTTATTTTTTGGAGCAAGTTTTGTTTGAAAAATTTAGTGTCAATTAATTAATTTTGATGTTTAATTTTTAGTTATGAAATGTAGCAAAATATATTAAGATCTGAATTCATTAAATTTAAGTGCTAAATTAGATTATTTAACAAGGCCTAAGTGAGACTAAAAATGAGGCATGTCGGTCAAAGGCTGAGACCATAGTTATTAAACCCGATCCAGTCCGGCGGTTCGACCGGTCAACCCGGCGATCGGCCACTAAATCGGGCCGATTCTTCAATTGGATCGTTTCTGCATATGAACCGTTGACTTTTCAACGGATCGACAGTTCAACCGGATTAAACCGGAAACCCGGCCGGTTTTGTGGGCAGACCGGGTTTGAGACAAACATTCCCGATTCTTCAATTGGATCGTTTCTGCATATGAACCGTTGACTTTTCAACGGATCGGCAGTTCAACCGGATTAAACCGGAAATCCGGCCGATTTTGTGGGCAGACCGGGTTTGAGGAAAAAATATTTGTCCAAGCCTTTGCTTGGATTCGAACTTCAGACCTTCGGTATTATTTATGTGTAACTCACCACCAGGCCACTTTGTCACTTGTTCATTAATGGCCATTCTTATGCTATATGAATGTTTTGTTAATTTCATCTTTATTTTTTTAAACTCTCCAAAACAAATGTATTTGGAATCTTTTAATAAAACTTATGACCTTTATATTCTATAAATTATAAAATAGATTTCAAAAATAACATATTACATAATTTATTTTAAAGACAAATATTGTTTTTTAAATATTTTTTTGCATTTAAAATTTGTAAATAACCTAGATAATTACAATAAACATCTACACTTGAAGTGTGGTGGATTACTAAGTAAATTTATGTTTTGCTGATTCTTATATGAATTAAATATTCTATAGCAAATTAAATTAAATGAATATTTGTTATGACATTATTTATTACAATTTATCTCATATATCCTATATCAAAATTTATAAAATATAATATTTAAATATATGTAGTGACCCACTGGTTCAACCACTCACCCACCGGTTGAACCAGTGACCCGTTGACCCACCTCCTTCGCCGGTCTTCTCTCCGGGCCGAGTTTAATAACTATGGCTGAAACGACCTCCACAATTTTTTTCTTAGATTTCAACCGGCCCTAAAAGTTAATGGCTATGAAGATCGATATTATATTGTGTACATCGTCTGTCGTATATAGAATTTATGAAAATCTTTTATATGTTCGCAATGTATTGAAGATGATTTAAATTATGAATAAATGGACTCATATTTCGTTGAATTAAGCAAAATTATTCAGAACAATTCACCTAGCAACATTTGAGCTTTGGGCTCGAGGGATCAAACTAGGGTAGCGAGGAGGAGCCTTTGGCCCTCAAATTATTTTAGAATTCAATTGTCCTCCTCTAAAAATTTCTAAAATATTATTTATGAATTTAAAATTTTGCCCTTCAAAAACTTTAAAAAAAATGTTTTATGTTGTAGGTTTAAGTATATTAAAGACCGCTCTCACAAGATATAATTTCTAGCTCATGTATGATTAAATCATCATGGGTTCTTGTCAATTGCACTTAATATATTCGATTTATGCTCATGTCCTAGAAAAAAAAAACAGTCATATGGTGAATAACGAAGTAATTTTGATGACGCACTTTTACCTGAAAATTCAGCAATGTATCTGCAACCTTTATCCCCTTAAACATGTGTTCTACATTACTAATGCACGTTTTTAAGGTTTGGTGAGATGAGAGATCAAGGATTTAAACCTTATCTCCCATCACTTACTACTATATGTGATTGTCATTTTAAATAGCTTAAATCCATACGGATGTATAGTGCATCCATCTGATTCGATGATAGTTCAGTCCCCGTCGATTTTTCAATAAGCCCAGTTGGACCCTCCGTTTAGAATAGGTTAAAGTAAGAATAGTGATACGTGTAGGGTAGACAAGTGTCTTTTTTTATTTTCAAACGATAATATAACATTCTGTTGCAGATAAAGCAGTAATACAATTACAAAATTGGAGCAACTGCTTCCATGTCTTTTCTGGCTAAACTAGTCAACCAAGCAGGAAAGGAATCCCTCCACTGAATTTCATAAACTAACTTGAAGGCAAATTTTGCCAACTCATGGCTGATACACTTACCCTCTCTTTTAAGTTTTAACAAAAGGTAAAATACACGGAACCCCATATGGTTTCGCGAAAAGACACGGAACCCCCCTATCGTTTAAAAACATACACATAAACGCCCTAAACTTCATAACTAAAGTGAAAATAGACCTATAATCGGCTGAGCGAACTACTGATGATGGGTCTGCGAGGTTCTTTTGAAAAGATCATGAGTTTCATTCCCAAACTACCCTTCAGTTGCTATATAGAAGGCACTACATATTAGGGGAGAATAGAGTTGAATCTATCAAAGAGTGAAAAGAAAAAGGAGAAGATCTACTTCTGAGTATATCGAAGTCGTCATGTCCACTTCTGCAAATTTTGAAGGAGGTTTGACAGATCTAAGGTATGAATAGTCTCGGTGCTTCTGAGTATATCGAAGTCATCATACTGTTGCTACTGCTTATTCAAGTCTTCAGTTTGCTGATGCTGTGCTGTGGACTCCTCACCTTGTGGTTGCTGATGTTGTTGCTACTGCTCATTCAAGTCACCAATTTGCTGATTTGTTTGAGATACAATTGAACCAGCAGTTGCAAAGATGTCCTCATCTTCTGCAAATTCTAGACCCTCTCTCAACCAATCCGGATCAGGTTCTTCGTTTCTATCACTGTGGTGCTGCTGTTCATTGTTGACTTGATTCTTCTCAATAGAGGTTCTGTCAAAGTCACAATGTTGTTCATTATTGACTTGATTGGTCTCAACAGAGGTTCTGTCAAAGTTATATTGATTTTCACATTCTACTTTACTTTGGTTCACTGAAGAAACCTCTTGCTGGCTGTGGACAGCATCTATTCTGGTTGTTTGCTGAAATAATTTTCTGACAGTTTTTCTATCTACTCTTTTCACAGGTTGCATCACAGTTTGTCTCTTCCTCGATTGAGTTTTACCACCCTTTCTTCTGTTTTTTTTAATTAGTTCGAAGGAATTTTATGTGCCATCATTAGTTTCTACAACAGTTGAGTCATCTAAATCATTTTCTTGCCCTCTTGTATCACCAATATATGGTTCAAAACCAGTCAAATCAACAGAATTTTGTGAAGCTCCAGCACCTTTTCTAGTCAGATCTGAATTTATCTCTGAAGAACTTCCATTGTACGGTAAAGCAAGTGGACCATCATTCGTCACTCTTTCGAATAAGTGCTTACCATCTGGTGAGATAATTTTGAGAGGCGTATGACCTGCCTCTATATATATATGCATATAAGGAAACCCTTCATAATAGGTAGTCAACAATTCTATGTCCACGTCATCATTTATTGGGATAACACCTACATCCACATCATGGTCTGGAATGCAATACCAATATTTTACACATGCCGCTTCTTTTTCAATTTTGGAGTACAGGTTGAATAATGAAAATGTTGATAACTCATCAGGGTCGCAATTGTGAAACACTCTCACTAAATCACTTGTATACCTAATATTGGGATGATGTATAAACAGCCCACTCTAGTGCATGTGGATATCCACTGTCCTAAAAGGATCTAACATGGTCCCTAACCTAAATTATTTAATCAACACTTTTAGAATTCAAATATAGATTAATAAACTATATTAAGCTACATCACACTTTCAAATTATAACAACAATTAGTTATAACAACAATCAGATTATTAAGTGAAATATGATTTGTAGTCAAATCCAAACCCGACACATATTATTTCCTTCTGACATTAACCACATACTCCAAAAAAGACCCATATTCTCCAAAAAAAAAAAACTAAAAAAGTTAAGATCTTTACATTTTTAAACCCCATTTTCTCTGATAAACCACCTAAATATGGGCCACCAACTATAACAATGACAAATATGGGGTAATGTGGGGTAATGTGGAAAAGGAATAAACAAATTGGAAAAGGATTACAAATCTTAAACATTAAATGGACTGAATATTGAACAATAAGTTCTGATTCTTACCTAGAAATGTCGAACAAGTTTCACGATCAGATTTCCTCACTAATCTGTCTTTCCTTTCTTCGCGACCGAATGCAGCTTCACAATCAGATGCAACCACCAATCTGTCACTCCTTTCTTCGCGATCGAATACAGCCATGGATTTTTCAACTCAAATTCACGATATTTCAACAACAATTTAGTATACAAATCCCTTGTCTTAGGGTTTTTTTTCTTACACAGGATGAACGAGAAAAGAGTCAGTTGTTCATTCTCTCTTCCTCTCTATTATAAATGAGGGTATTTTGGGTATTCGACCTGCAGCCGGTAACTCAGCCGGTTAAGAAGTCTATTTCCACTTTAGTTATGAAGTTTAGGGCGTTTATGTGTATGTTTCTAAACGATAGGGAGGTTCTATGTCTTTTCACGAAATCATAGGAGGGTTCCGTGTATTTTACCCTTTAACAAATGAGATGGAACATTTACTAAAATCTTCTCTCAGTTTTATAATGTTTTCAACAATGGTTCCAATTTTTGCATCCTGGCTGTTTTCTTCCGTGATTTTATCCACTTCTACCTTATTTTTTTAAAGAGGTATTTTAGAATACCTCATTATTTTTCTTCTCTCTTCCTCTCTCTATCTTGAACCCTTGACCTTATGGTATGCAAGACATGCTAATACCAACAAGGCACAAGCTGTGTTTTAAAACTCGGATCGGACCGACCGGTTCGATCGGAACTAGCCAAGAGTCCGGTCTGAATTATGCTAAAAAATCGGGTAAGTAAAAACCCGGTCAAATTTGGGTTTGATCGGGAAAAAAATTGGATTTTTCGGTTCGGTTCAATCAAGCATTTAAAAAAAAAACTCAAATTTTTTCAATATTATATTTTGACTCCTAGATTGTTAAAAATTATTAATATATTTCAAATATTTCATACTTTATTAATGTTGTCTTGAAGTTTGGTGTTATTTTTCAATTAAATCCATAATTTTAATTCTAAACTTGTTAATGCTCATTAAATAACATAAATTGCTACTTGATTGTTCTAATTTCTTTGTATTTTTTTGTTAAATATATTTGAAACATCAAATATATATGAATATACCTTTATTAATATTAACATGTTATTAGGTATTTTATATATAATATTTTAATTTTTAAATAATTTTATTTATAACGTCATCCGGTTGAACCCCTATCGAATCCTTATTGAATCCGGTTGAATCCATTGATCCCTGACCCCTGAACTTGACCGAGTCGATACTCGGTTCGGTTCTGAAAACATAGGGCACAAGAAGAGTTAGTGGGTAGCCAAGTGTCGATCGACAAAAAAAAAAATTTTGCACGTGTTTGCTAGTGTTCTGAAAGCTAGTTTGTTATATAGAGATCTACCGATACAAGTTACTACTTTGATTGCTAACACAATGCTTTGTTCTGCTATTGTCGGCCCATCCCACTGATAGCAAGACAGAAGATCCGTTGTCTTTAATTTTGCGTAATTTTAGCATATGTGGGACTGCCTTCAAGCATGCGGATCTCTTTTTCAACCTTAAAAAATAATAATACTAATAAAACCCTGAAAGAGGGCCAAAGGGTTTATATTTCGGCTCAAGGGATTCTAAATGTTACATATATTCCCCACCAGCTAAAAGTCGAGCTAGGAACTTAATTGTTACTTGGGAGTTGGGACAAAAATAAAAAAAAAATAAAAACATCCTTGTAATGAGGCGCTGGCCTACGATCCGGCAAAAAAAAATTTTGTTAATGAACCACTAACCATCAATTTGAGCAAAAGGGTTATTTTATAACTTTCTTTTTTCTCAAGAATTGCAATAGGAAAAAAAAAAGCATCTCAAATAACTGTTTCTATACTTATGATGTTGAGAACTACACGACAATAGTGATATAACATGATATATTTATTTAGTGTGTAAAGCTAGCTATTAACTCCCTAACCGCAAGAAGTACTACTTTCTTTTGAATATCTTATATCTGATCTTTATGAGAGGACGCCATGCGACAATTTGGATCAATCTTCTGTACCAAAAGTAAAATGGTACGTGTCTTTTCGTTTAGGGTTTTACGTAACCTTAGCAAGCGTGTAATTGCCTTCAAGGGTGCGAATTTCTTGTTCTACATTTTTTTTTAAATGGAAGGGGGTTAAGGGTTCATATCATTCTGTGGACAATATAATTAAGTTAATAATTTGTCCTTTGTTTTGGATTGAGGGAGATTCTCAATGTACATATGGTCCCTACCAACTAAAGGTCGATTAGGATCCGATTGGCAAATCTATTTTTTACACGTTTTTAATAAAACTAAGTTTTTTTTTCAAATTTATCTACAGAAACTTGTTGAATCGTCTTAAATTTTATTTTTTTTTAAAAAACAATCCTCAAATACTAAAAAACACACACAATTTCCTTCTTCTACCACCATCCACTTTAATCATTTCTGCTCTCATTGCTGGCTTGCCACTTCACTTCATCCCACCACTCCCGCGCAACACATTTCTCTCTCTCTCTCTCTGTCCCTCTTTCCCTATCAGTTCCCTTTCCTATCACCACCCACCACCCCTTTTTTTTTGTTCCCTTCTGCTCTTCCTCTCTCCCCTTCCTCCTCATTTCCTCTCTCCCTTCTTAGTCACTAGGGATGGGCATGGATCAGGTACCCACCCCTAATTTGATTTGACTGATTCGACTCTAACATATCGAATCAACCATTTTGCCATCCTATCTCGCTCTTAACGTCTACGGGTCATGGAACCCGCCCTAAAAAAAACTATTTTTCAATAAAAAAATTGTTTTCCACTTCATATCAACATGTTTTTTAATATGAAAAAAAAAACCTGCTTTCTAATTAATGTAAGTAGAGATATTGTAATCAAAGTCCATACATCACTATTCTCAGACATTTCATCCAACAATCAAACCAATCTTATAAATTTAGTACATATTAGAATTATAATATCTAATAGATACGAAGTTTCATGATAATTTTGAGTACATCACCATTTTCACACATTCCATCATTCTACAACACAACAAACGCAAGAATAATAAGTATTCAGCAATTTTTCCAACTTGCTTTATGGATGTTATGGTACAAGACTGCATCTCAAATGAATCAACTGTGGAATCAAGTTTGGAAAAAGAATTGAACAAAGCTAATTATTTTTGGAGAAAGTATAACCAAAATAACCTTGAAAAATCTTCCCCAGTTTCTTTACATTTTTGGAATAGCCCTTATGGCATTAAGGGTGATGAAAAAGAAAATTAAATTTCTTACACTAAAATAAAAGAAACAAATTTAAGAGATATAATTGCAGTAAAATAAATCAAATAAATAAATACATGAAAGACGCAAATTTTTTAATTACCTAGCTAACAGAAATTGGAGCTCCAACACAAATCTTTGATTGAATTGATGGAAAATTTGTAAGAAAGATCGATGGAGATAGAATAAAAATAAAAATGATGAAAGGGATGAACATTTTTATGATAGAATTTTACAAATTTTTTTTCGTTTTGTTCATTTGGTTCAAGTTTCATCGAGAATATTCACTTTTTTCAGACAAAATGAAGAGAGGCGAATCATGGGATTAGGATATAAGGCTGTGAGTCACTTTACTTACACTTAGGATTAAAAATTATAAAATTATAAAGTGACTCCTAATTTTTTAATATTTATATAATATACCCTGCGAGTTGGGTACCTGCGAATTTTTATTTTTCTGATCCGTATTTGTATCCCTTTTTGCGGGTACCGACCCTCATCTACTCTATTAAAAAAAATCGGACTAGATATCCTATTTTTTAGATGAATCGAATAGGGTTCATCAGATTTTCGGATCGACGGATTTTTTTGCCCACCCCTACCAATCATCCATCTCTTCTTCATTCAACTTGGCCCTCTCCCTTTGCCTCTCATCCTTTTCTACCGCCATTTCGTCTCCCTTCTCCTCTCACTCTCCCTTTCTCGCAACCCGTCTCTTTTGTACAAATCTCAATTTGGACTGAATCTTGCTAAATGTAAAATTTTTTAAAATTTTTTCTTCAATTTGATATTTTTTATAATTGATATGATCATTTAGCAATGAAACGAGTTAATAGTAAATTGTAGATAATCTCACAAATAAAATAAAAGAGTAATAAAATGTACTTCTAATTTTTTTGTCGTACTTCTAATTTTGACTAGTTTTGATGGGGGATAAAATGGATACATCCAAGGTTGTTCACTAAGTTCGGGGGAGCCAAGTGTGATTAGCCTAAGGAAAAAAAAATAAGCCATAACTCTTGAATTAACGTCCGTGTATTCTGAAGTCTGTTAGTAAAAAGACTAGCTACTAAATTCCTTAGCCACATGAGGCGTTCACCATATCAATTAGCACTACTTTTCTTTGAATACCTTGTAATAGTTTATGTATTTAATCTTTTATAAGAGGGCATCATGTGACACTTGGATCAAGCTTCCGTACCAGAAGAAGATACTCCGATCATCCAAGTGTCAATAAACAATTTCTTGATTGGTTCATGCATCGGTTTTAATGTTGTATCGTGTAGACACAAATGAATCAATCCAACGTCAAATAGACAAAACACACCAATGATCAACCACCCGTTCCCCCGGCCTCCTTCCTTGTTCCAAAATCGCTTCTTTTTGGTACCCAAGGGGGCAAAATATCTTGCACCTACCGTGGCATGTCTACAATGGCTCTGGCCCCGCAGATTTGAAAAGCAAATTATTCAGCTGTATGAAAAAAAATCATACAAATTAGTTCACCGAAAGGTCCGTGGAAGACACTTGAGCAAATGAAAAAGGGACATCTGGTTGGACACACATCTGGGAAGAGGGACCCACATGATATAATATATGGGAAAGCTGTTCCGTCCCATAAAGCTTTTTGGCAAGTCTTCTGTGACATGGGACTTTCTTAAGACTGACACATGTTGGTTTGTGTTCCTCGGGAAACTAACCTTTTTGTGTGCGTGTCAGTAATGCACTGTTTTGAGACGGTAAGCAACCTACGTTCCTTGATTGCATGATTGACTATTTGTTTATGTTTTTGCTTTAAAAAAAGATTTTGTGGGATTTTCATACTTTACATATTTTGGTAGATTGTACAGTAAAATGATACGTGTCCCTTCGTTCAGGATTGTTTGACTGAGAATTGACTTGGGTTTTGGGGCTCGGGCATAACTATTCCAACAACAATATACGATCGTGGGGTGTCTCAAGACTGGGTTTTTATTTCTGAAGATTGAGGGGAGGAGGGATGCCATATTTCTGGAGGAAGAAAAGGGTGTCTGATTGATTAAGGTGGCTTGTTTACTTTGAGATAAGGGATTTTCTTTTCCTTTAGTTGAGGCACCAGTTTTTCTGATTTATGGGTATTTTCTCTTGGGGCTTGATTCTGTAAGTTCTTGCTTAGCATAATTAACATATTTGGTTCTTTGATTGGTTTGTTCATGTTAACCAGTGAAGTTCTTTCTGCTTGAAAGCGGATTAATTTGTTTGTTTTTGTATCAAAGCTTTGGTTCTTATTCTGATTGAGGTTTCAGTGGTAATTTCTTGGTAACATATTCTGATGAGGTGCTGGATAAGGGGAATCTTTGAGAGATCCTGAAGGTGCTGAATAGTGTGTAAGAAGTATTTGCATGTGTCTTGTCTTCTGGGTACTGTTCACTTTATACTGAAATTTTGATTCGTATTCCCTTGCTTCATCGAATTTCTTGCCGTGTATTTTAGCCCCTTGATTCTTCTGCCTAGGAGTTGTAGCTGGTTTTTCAAGCACTTTTCTGGACCCTTGAACTGCTAGTACTGAGATTAGTTGGTCGAAATAAGGCGTGGTTCTTTTAAACGGCTAATTTGCCTCTTTGTAGGGTTCTCGAACTAGGCAATTGATTTCTTTTGGTAGAGGAGACATCTCCAGCGATTGCGATGCCATATAATTTGGGAAATCTGATTTATGATGAGTCTGTGCTAACAACCCGAGTGGACATCACTGGGCTTGAGCTGATAGCAAACACAAGTAGTTTGTTGTCGGAATCTTCTCTAACGAAGTTCCCATTGGTGCCTTTTGCTCATGAAAGTAGAAGCTATAGTAACTATAGAACGCCTCAAAATGGAATCAGTATCTTGACCCAAAATGATAACGTCAAGAAAGGCGAAGCCAATACCTTGCCTAGGGCAACTGATAATGGTAGATGTTTTGCTGTGGGAGATGCAATGTACCAGGCCACTAAGGCAGATGATCTGAAGTTATTTTCTGGTGGCCAATCCGTAGATGCTAGTTCTCAGTTGGTGTCTAATGACACCACCAGCGTATGCAGTGAGCAGTGTACTGCTTTGGATACTCAATCTGGGACTTCATTAATAACCGTAGCAAGCACTTGTAGTCATCAAAGTATTAAGAAGTCATATTCGTGGGATCCAACAATTGCATCAGAGATTATTGAAGATATTGTTTCTGGGATAGCTAATAATGGAGTTGCGGTTGTTAAAGATTCTACAAGACCAGTGCCTTCTTCCCTTCTCGAGGTTTCGGAGAAAATGAAAATAGATAGGCATGTTTTTAGTCTTGATACTGTTCCTTTATGGGGATTCTCATCTATCCGCGGAAGAAGGCCAGAGATGGAAGATGCTGTAGCGGCTCTGCCACGGTTTTTTAAAATTCCTCGTCAGATGCTAATGGATGGTCCTGTTTCTAATGCATTGAATCAATGTTTGTCAGCTGACTTGTTTGGAGTTTATGATGGACATGGAGGCAGCCAGGTAATTTTTGTGCCTTAGTTGTTTTTGTTGTCAACTGCTATCGTCCCCCCTCCTATTCTACCGGGGGTTAAGTTTTTTGTAGGTGTCAAAGTATTATGTGGTTCTCTGATTATAGTCTACTCATGTTAACCATCTTCTTGTAGGTTGCCGATTATTGCCGCGACCGCCTCCATTTAGCTTTAGCTGAGGTGCTGAATATTGAAAGGGAGGACTTGCTTACTGGAAATGGTGCATGTAATTGGAAGGAGCGATGGGGGAGAGTTTTATTGAGCTGTTTCCATAAAGTTGATAATGAGGTGGGAGGTATGGGAACTTCTGGTGCTAATGATCCTAGTCTTGTACCTATTGCTCCTGAAGCTGTTGGGTCTACGGCTGTGGTTGGCATTATTTGTCCCTCACATATTATTGTCGCAAATTGTGGTGATTCAAGGGCAGTCTTGTGCCGTGCAAAAGTGGCTGTGCCATTGTCTATAGATCACAAAGTAAGGCCTTTGATGTAGGACATCTTTTTGTTTCTTTGTTTTGTCTTTCCTGTAGTCGTTCTACCTTGGTTTGGGTTTTGACATCTCTAAACATTAAACTTCAGCCAAATAGAGAAGATGAATACGAAAGGATAGAAGCTGCAGGAGGCAAGGTCATAGACTGGGGTGGATATCGTGTTTCTGGCGTGCTTGCGATGTCAAGGTCCATTGGTACGTCTCTCTTTAATGTACTTGAGAGTTATGTTCTGTTCCATTTGCATGTCACGCTGAGCTGATTTGGTACTGAAGCACTGACCCTAATGGACTTGAGTGATTGCTAACGTGTTTAGTTTCGCCAAAATGTGCATTTTCCAAGTTGGATAAGCACCAACAATTTGAAGAATGCAAACTATGATAGTAAAATTCTTAAATTTCGCTTTCCACAATAATTAATAGAGCTTCTGTACCACTGGATGCCAAAATGCCAAATAAATTACCCTCAAAAGATTAGAATCCGTTGAATTTGTTATGACTAATAGCAACTGCCTGCCTGAAAGGCCTTGATATCTTAACTCCTGGGTGAGCTTTGTGAGACTGTTGTACAGATCGAGTTTTTGTCCATATAAATTCTAGTAGTCCACCACCAATTGCGGTATTAGTCCGAAGTCGGTAGGACGACTTCCATTGCTCAGCATTTGAGCATTATTCCGCCAACTAAGGCTGGAACGTTTGGACTCGCATTGGCTTGATTTGGCCGCCTTTAGTCCATCGAACTTCGACTTTTACACACATTTTTCATTTGTGAGACTTTGCAGGTGATAGATACTTGAGGCCCTCTGTAATTGCAGATCCAGAAATGACGTTTGTGCCCCGGTCAAGAGAAGACGAATGCCTCATTTTAGCTAGTGATGGTCTATGGGATGTTATGACAAATGAAGAGGTCTGTGAGGTGGCGCGAAGGCGAATCCTCCTCTGGCACAAAAAGAATGGTCCTAGCCCACCCAATGAGCGGGGTGAGCGAATTGATCCTGCTGCTCAAGATGCAGCAGACTATCTCTCACGACTTGCTCTCCAAAGGGGAAGCAAGGACAACATCTCCGTGATTGTTGTGGATCTGAAACCCGTAAGAAAGTTCAAGAAGAAGACCACCTAGTACTGCCTAATAATAATAAGCTGCCTCTGTAACTGTTTTTGCGTAAATTGTATCTAGTACCGGAAAACCTCATCTAATTGATTGGTAACAATGATGAGACGGGAGGTATCCTTGAAATATAGCTTTCTTCTTCTTCGTCGTGCAGCTAGTTTGCAAATGTACAGCTGCGAACCATCTTAGGGTTCCCAAATTATGATGCGATTCTTATAATATGGACAAAAATGATGCTTTTTGATATTTGTTGGGTTCCTGTGGTCTCAAATCGCTGATTCCGAATCTTTTGTACTGCTGGTATAATACTAGCTGCCAAAAAAGTATTTCTTGCGAGATTTTTGGGCGATGTTTCGTTTGCATCTGTGTCACGCGACTACAGACAATCCCAGTAATTTCATGCCTCTCTGGTGGAAGCCTCGTTGAAGAACCCTACTCCACATGATTCAGGTCGGCGAAAAGCTAAACCAATCTTTGGATGTTTTCTGTTGCTCTTGTTGCATGTTGAAAACTTTTTATTCACAGACGGCTCAGGCTGTAAAGCCACGATGGACCAAAACGCACGAAAGTGGCAAGTAGCGAATGCGTGGGGCTATAGCAATCCAAATAAACATGAGACGTAAAATATCAATTATAAGTCCCTTCAGATCACAGGAAGAATTCGTTAGCACAAAGTTGGGACCTGCTCTTTGATACACGCCTGCTTCGAGTTATCAGAGAAATGGGGACGAAATTGTCGATAGCAACGAAGACCCAAAATGGCTTTCCCTACTCGTAATCATATCTTGAGTTACACTTTGTGTCTGGGTCGGCAAGATGTTCCGTAACAACAACGTACTAGTAATTTTTACCAAGGGGCATAACGGCCGCCGTAGGAATCGTCCGGTTCATTTTCGGCAACACCTTAAGCCATCGAATTAATATCCTCATAGATTCAGCTCACTAAAGTATTACGAACAAAACAGAGCCATTTCCGTCTTTCAATGCATAACATGCAGAGGTAAATATTTGAGCTTGATACATGATGAATAGGTGGGGAGTGATGTACTGCTATTATCCTGCACTTTTGTGCTCAAGCAAATTGTATTTCAATATAATAGAGTTTACAAACACTAGACGTCAACCCAACTTCCAAACCCTGAATATGTATAGCTCTGGAAGCGTCATTTCTTCCAGCCACATTCTGCCTGCCTGCCAGTCAACAATTGCTGGAGATTTCATCCGAAATTCAGCTAGATCCCCAAGCATAGATTCTCAAGGTGTCCGAATTAGGCTAGCTCAATATCAAAAGCAGCAAATACAAGAAGGCACAGGCTGCCAAATGTCCCAAATTTAGAGTTCTGTTAGTTCCAGTGGAAGATGAGATCAATGAATCACCCAAGAACATTATCATAACACTGACAACCGTAAAATTGCACACGAGCCTACAGGCTTGAAAGGTAATGAAGCAATTTACTTCCAGAAACTCTCTTACCGTCAAGAAGGAAGCATAAGAAGCAGATTTCAGATTTATTGAGATTAAAGCTCATAATTGCCAAGGGAAGCATGAACAAGGGTTAAACATTTGGTATTCAAGTTCAAGACCATTGAACAAATTCCGGAAATCAATTGGCACTGAAAAGACCAAGAGGAAAAAGGAGGAAATGACACATGAATTCCATCAATTTCGGCATTACAGGACACAACGTTAATCACACTGCAAGGTCTAGTAACAAGGTAAACACAGTTTTACTTGTGCATGCAAAAAGAGAGTGTGTTTCAACATTCAAGTGAAAAATCATCTCCTCCCATGCCCACGACATCTTCAACAGACAATTAAAATGACAAGTACAGATGGCAATATTAATCAGCTCTCCATTGTTTTCAATTAAGGCTGTCTAGATTCAGACTCTATTTTTTTTAGTATCAGCTGCAGTGGGGAAACAGTGAATATTTCCTTATAGGTTTCTAACATGTAGAAAAGATGAACATACCAAGAATGGTTACAATGTTGCAAGTGGTGGACCGGCACTGGTAAAGTAAGGAGCAAGATCAATATCCAGATCTCCAAATTTACTTAGGAAGGGGTGCGTCTGAATTTAGCAAGAGAAACTAAGCCATCATGTGTTAATGGAATATAATTTTGAAGAAAAAATTGTAAATACTACCCATACCATGAGTTCATTTGCTGACAGCCTATCTTTTGGATCTTTCTGTATACTGAAAGAAGAGAGCACGGATTACATGTGTGATAAAACATTATATGTATGTTATGTCCTATAGGCATATAAAATGAAATACAGTTGATTATCTCAAATGTAAAACTCATGAACGTGCAAAATTGACACAGCCAACTCAAATGTGATGGAGAGAAGTCAGATTAGAAAGAAGATATGAAATCTTAAGGGCAGGTACTTGTAGACAACTAGGTATAACCAGTAGCATGTTTGATCCCAAAATAATTTCTTTTCTCAGATGTAGTAGTAGTAGTATGTTGGAGTACAATATGCATTGCATATGATAACTAAGGAACCACGGCTTGCTCCAGAAAGACCAGAGAGTAAAATGCATAGAAGATAATTGACTGTTTCCAGCTCATCAACAACCAATTTTGTTAAAGGACGATTGACTGATAAAAAGTGCAATCTTTACCATGCAGAGATAAATGAACAGAATTCTGGAGAAAATAGATCAGAAGGTGCACGAGGGGCAGGGTGGTCAACAATGGTTTCCATCAGCTCGTACACATTAATCCATCCTTCCCCAGGCTGTGGGGGGGAATAAGGGAACTGGCCTGTTGCACACTCAAGCAAAACCAAACCCAGACTCCAGATGTCACTTCTGTAGCCATAGTTGCTCCCAATGATCCTCTCTGGCTACAGCACAAGAATGAATATAAGCAACAAAAACAACAAAAATCCATTAAGAGAAACCAAGAAATTCATCTGGCGATCCTGTTTGACTAAAGAACACATTTGACTACAATCACTTAGAAGCCAAATCCAATGCAAGCAGGTTAATGAAATAATACTCTTATCTTACCAGATAAGTCTATTTGGTAGCACAGAAGGAAGCTAGTCAGCAATATATGTTTAGCAAAGTGAGACAAGTACTCACAGACATATAATTGTATGTGCCAACAAATGTATTAGCCAGTCCTGATGTGCTTGCTAGTATTGCACTGACACCAAAATCAGTGATCTTGACTTCACCTCTGTGATTTACTAGCAAATTGGAAGGTTTTAAGTCCCTGTGTATAATGTGCTTTTCATGGTGAAGATACCACAAGCCCTTCAGCACCTAAATTGGTGGAAAAGATTGACATTAGAGGTACTTAAGAAAATATCTCATGTTCAGAACACAAGTTATGTGTATATCCTACCTGCTTGCAGATTGCAGCAAGATATGGCTCCGGAATGGTTCTGACTTTCTTTAGAAAGTCTGCCAGAGATCCTCCATCCATATACTCCAAGATTATGGATATAGCACCATTATCATAGAAAGACTGGTAACACACAACAACATAGGGACATTGAGCTGACTGGTTGATTTTCAATTCCTGTGCAATGTGCCTGCGAGCAGACTCTTCAATATTCATTTGAATAACCTGAATGTAAAGATACTATTAGAACTCTCTCTCAAACAACAAAACAAGAGAAAGTCAATAAAGTAACGAAAACACAGAGCAATGAGAAAATACATGTTTCATAAGTCAGAGGGTACTGACATGGTAATCAGATACTCATATGCATGGTTTTAGCATGAATGGTGTGCAAGCACACAGGAAAAAAGTGACAAAGCACAAATGTATCCATCATGGTGAGGTTCAAGAACACTGCCATGAGTTTCTAAACAGATTCGCAATTGTAGGCAACTCATGAACTTCTTCTTGATGGTGGCATTTCTTTTTTCTAGAAAAGGAATAAAAGAATACACAAATTTCAGTCCCAAGTTGTACAGTACCTTTAGGGCAAAAAATTGCCCTGTCCATTTATGTTGGACCAGGCGCACAATGCCACCATTCCCTTTCCCGATGACTTTAACAGCATCAAAATCTGCTAAGCTCAACTGGTTATCTGACGGCCGTATAAGAGATGGCTGGGGAAGAAGAACAAAGAACATAAAAAAAATATTTCAACAGATGCTGCAGTTGCAAGCAGTTAGGTTAAGAATTAAAAAACATATATATACTCTCAACAACACAAGCCAAGAAGCATATTAATTCAACAAGGCATACCTAAGATCTTATATGCATAGAAACCAGACATAATAAAAAGCAAAAAAGAAAAAATTCAGCTCAAACATCCACGCCATTTTTCTGTTTCTGCTGAAAAGGAAAGCTTTAAGTTAATAACTATAAAGACGTAAAAGATTATTCTACCCATCATTATTTAGTTTCTAGTTGAGATCCCCAGCATGTTCATAAATGAGTAATGAGTTTTGGATTTCAATAGGCTTTACCCAATTAAATTGGGCCATGGGCAGAGCAACGTAGAGCACATTGCAATTCATCTCAACTAAAGAAAAGCCCCACCTACTCCAAGAATGAAGCTAACTGGAATGGAGCTGCAGGGATAATGCCTACTCTAAAGAGCAAAATTCTTATTTGCCTAAAAGGAAAGGATTGTACCTGGTCTAGGGTGACACTGCTGACAATGGTGGTTACAAAGCATAATGCATTACGAAAAAAGAGCAAATCTTTAAAAATATATGGAAATGATGTGCTGCTCCACATGTTATGAACTGGTTTTGAGTTGGATCCGCATAAACTCCATTAAACTACTTGTATTAGCAAAACCTCTTTCCCACACAAATACGCAATTAGCATACGGATGTGTGAGGAATATTTAAAAATGCAAGAGGTGAAGGTGTCTAGCTAATTTCTTTAGGATATACCACTGTGGGATGGTGGAAGTTATTTTGCAAAAACTGATTCGACTAGTTGATCAAATAGGAATCTTATACCCATTTTAGAATCTGGTACCTGAGTAAATGAAAAAGTTACTTTTACTAGTCACCTTCTAACCGAATCTTACTTGTTCTAAAAGGTGTTTGCACACCATGTATATACCATAAAGCACACTCCCTCAGGCCTCAACCTTCATTTAAAATAAATTTAAAAAAATAATGTTTGAACAAATTTTATATTTCTATGTGCATGTAAAGTTTTGAAATAGACATCCCTAAGAAATATAATTGGAAGGTATCTGCGCTCAACAAAGGGGGGATTAAGTAGCATGTAGACGAAGAAGAAACGTAAACTGGACAAAGGAGAAAATGAGAAGAAATTTTTTCAGAACCGACTCCTGCATCCATGACTACCAATGTTTTCAAATTTACGATAAAAATATCAATAATATTACCGTAACAAACGTACGAGCCGAACAAACAAACCAGCAAGGAAAATATGAGAGCAATTTTTCATTCACCCCAATTTAAAAAAAAAGAAAGAACGAAAGAAAGGAAAAGGTTAAAAGAGGAAATCAGAAAAAAAGCTTACAGCTTCAACTTGATTCTGAGAAACAACTCTAACCCCATCTCTGTTGACCAAGAGATCACCATCCTTGAAGGTCCCCGATTCAGTCCTGCCGAAAACAAACCAACCCTGACATCAGATCAGACAAAGAGCACTAAATTTAATCACATAACCACCACCTGTTTCGGGTGAGTTCACTTTGTACGAATATAAAAAGAAGAGATGAGAGATTGAGGAGGAGGAGGAGAAGGACAAGTACAAGAATTTAGAAAGAGCAACTTCATCAGGAGGAGGGAGGGACAGCTTGAGATTAGGCGCTAAATTCCCCTTCTTCATTCCTTCTCTCTCAGAATCTCTCTCTCTCTCTCTCCCTCTATTTTATTGTGGTTTTCTTTTTGCGTCCCGAGGCAACAGGATTACTAACCACTTCAGTACTAATGCTGCTAAAAAGTAAAATCCCCCTCCACCAGTCTCCACCTCCAGACACAAAGTAGCACTGCTATCCTGGAAGTAATTAGTAACAGCTGATGCTACTGGCTTATATTAATATTGATTTGGGATTCGTTCAAACAAATTTATAGCAGTAAAAATACTACTAGTATTAGAATTCAACCAACAGACAAAAAAAAAAAAAAAAGGAAGGGGGTGGACCTGGGGGGATCAATCATCAATGGGAGGAGTCTCAAGGAATTACTGCTTGTATTATATGGAAACCGGGGTTAAAACTTTTTTAAGTCAAAGTCTAGTCTGGTCTTCTTTGTCGTGCTTTATTATGCGATCCAGAGTCGTTCGCAGACTCGTCTATTTTTATCGGTTGTTGGTCAGCAGAACGCTTGAAAAACCCAAAATGACAACCAACCTATCTTCATTGTGACACCTTTTCGTCCGCCTTCGTTTTCGACAATCAAGCGGCGCCCTCTTGCAGACTTTTCCAATTAATCAACCTCTAATTTTACTCGGAGTAGGCTCAACTTTTACTAATCTATTTTGCGTTTCTGACAATAAACTTTTACCTGTTGACTTTGACAAACGAACATAGAGATCCCGCACCTTCCGTTCGTACATCCTTTTTGTTTTTTTTTTTAATCTCTGACGCAGCAGGATAATTTCTCCAGACATAATAACAAACTAGGAGGCATGAACCGGGCGGTGAGGCCTGTGATAATTTGTCATGGATGCCCATAAAACATATGTAGTGTAGTGGGTATATAATTTTGAAAATAAAAAGGACATTGACTTTATTAGATGTAATGAGTGGGAATAACAAAAGTAACAGCTAGGACAGAAGGAATGTTTGTTTGTTGCTTAAAACTCCAAAGGCTAAAGAACTATACAAAGATCTTAGGTTTTAGATACGCAGAAATAAAACAAAGTCTAGTGATTGTCTACAGTCTACATATCACTCACTATTCCAAATACTACTGCTGCCTAACAACTCAGCCCAAGAAGAAAGGCTCTGAGCTGGCAGCATAATAGAGCATCCCAAAGCAAATTTTTTGAAAAAGAACAGAACCACTAGATACTGTTCCCTCCGTCCCATTTTGATAATTCTATTTCTTTTTTCACACAGTTTAAGAAAAAATAGTTAACTTTGTTAGAAAAGTAAATTTAAATTGCTATTTTCCTAAAATACCCTCACATTAAATATGGTACAACTTTACGAGAACTTGAATTGATGGTAAAAAAAGAATCAACTCTTATTAAATGGGATAGATTTATAATAACAACTACTTACATTGAATAATGGTATTTTAGAAAAATTAAAATACAACTACATTTTTCAATTGAAAAATGAACTACAATTTGAAACAGATGAAAAAGGAATTCAGGACTATCAAAGTGGGACGGAGGAAGTATTAGTATCAACAGCATATAAGCCTCAAAACTAATACCGACGCCGCTACAAGCTCAAAGAAGTTCACGAGCTGACAAAATTTGCACAAGAAATAAGCATCCAAAAACAACCTCTCTAAACTGGCTAGCAAGCAACAACAGCGTATTTAGTGCACGTCACTTTGTTGATCACATCGGATGAACGCTTAAAATAGCATAGGAGCCTGGTTCGTTCAATTCGACAAGCCACACGATGGTACGACTTAAAGGCCTGCAAAAAGGTTGAATCGAAATAAAGTGGCAATTCAAGAATCCATGTAGACAATTCAGACCATTAAAATTGCATAAAAGAAAGTTCATTAATGACAAATCCAAATGACCTGGCCACACATAGCCTCATCGTCAGCTCAGGTATCTATGCAAATCTCCAAGTTCAGGTATCTATGCATGAGAATAGAGCAACACATAGCCTCATCGTCAGCAGCCTCAAACATGTCAAGCGCGCTAACACCAACTAGTTTCTCAGCTTCGACACCTAATGCAATAACGTTTACACACCCAGTATCATCATGAAAAGTGAGCCAGATCCATGCTCTATAACAAAAATAACATTAACCACCAAAAAAAAAGGAAACCAAGGAATACATAGGTTTTTTAAAAACTAATAACTAATAACAAATCCACAATGCACCTAGGGAAATCATACATTCCCTGACCTGAAGCAAGGTATAGAATTCCAAGGGTGGCAGAAAAATCATATAGCTCATAACAATGAGGACAGGCCATATGCCAAAAGTGAACAATGGCCAAGCAACTTCTACACGACCCTTAATCCATGCAGTTTCCCAATCATGATATCCAAACAAAAGCATTATCAAACAAGAACAAATATAAACAAAGGCAGTACCTGAAAAAATAAAGTATACCAAAGCATCAAGAAATAGCAAAGGCACTAACAAACGCATCATAGGACAGAACATGATAGATGGGAGTAATAGTCGAATCATGAACAGGGGGGTGCAAGACAGCAGGGTTTGCATATGCACACCCCTCAAAAACCAAACGAACCAACTTACAGACATTATCATTACACCTAAATCAGAAAAGAAAGCGAGAATATATGCATCAAGACGAGACAACGGCGCAATGGAGGAAAATTAACAAAAGAAACATCGCTAACCGACTATCAAGGAGGTTTGCTTCAACATCAGGAGAAACAAGCACAATAGATGAGAGATGGATCGACAGGGAGAGATCACGCGGGAGGCAATACCAACACCCGAAGGAGTAGCAGTAGCCATTCCTACCAAACAAAAAAACACAGGTTAAACTGCCAGGGGCCAACAACCAAGGTGACCTTTGGAGAAAAAAAAAAGGTCATAAACAGACCGTTGCTAAGAAAGGCAGAAAAGACAGCCCAAACCAAAACTCTTTAGTACAATATAAAAGCTTAAAATTGCAAATCAACTAAACAAATCCTAAACTGAAAAACCTTAAATTAAGCAAATCAACAAAGAGCATGAAAAACATCCGAAGGTGATTCCAAAAGAAGGGAAAAAACACAAAACGAACCTTTGCTCCAAAGCCGAATGCACAAGGCTAGGATGAAAACCAGTAAAATAACCTAAATCATAAAAACGCCAAGAACAACATCAACAAAGTACAGTATGTAAGAGAACATATAACAAAGAAAAAGCAAAGGAAAGGAAAAGTCACAGGAGAAAACCTACAGCATTAATTCACCATAGTTGAAGACATACTTAAGAACAACTAAGGTACCATATATTTCCTTTTTTCAATGAATAGGCAGCAACAAACATACGGAGTCATAAAAAATCAAGCACACCTCATACAAAAGAGAAATGAAAGAGAAAAGAATTCTTTCACATCTTGATAAATACTTCAAATGTATACTAATCCTATGAACAACATTTGCAAAGCAGGCATCTTTAATGGGTTTTAAGTGGCTTTCAAATAGAGCCATGAAAAATCAGTGCTATAAAATTTAAGACCATAATTACTCAAAATTCAAAGGAGCAGCAATACCACAAGTTTTGAAGCTTTAACAAAACCAATGACTTTTCATGGCCTTCATAGTCAGTCCCATGAACAGCAAATTCTACTTTTGCAAGACGATTCCAAGATTTGTAATAGCCATGAGAAAATCATATAACACAAAACAAAATCTAAACCTAACCAAAGATTCCAAGTTAGTCCCTTTACATTTCTTATCATTTTCTTTAAGCTTCACCAATCATTTTCCCATTTCATAAACAGAACACAAAAATAAAGATCAATCTGCAAATGCCTTACATAGTGCATTTCCTAAAATATTAAAAAAATTAAAAAGGACAATTTTTTTCAAGTGAATCACGGTGATATACCTTGACGGAGATTTTTCGGTCGCTCTGGGGTTGCTTGAACTTCTTGACCCTTTTCTTCACTGTCTTCTTCGAAAGCAAAGGCACCGCCATCGCTGCTGATTCTTCTTACGTTTTCCCTCCTTAACCTGCACATTTCACAAACAAATCACAATCAGCTATCCATCTACAAGCGTCTGTAAAGAATAGCGCAGCATGGGGAAGAAGAAGAAGAAGAAGAAAGCTGCGGCAGCTGAAGGTTTGAGAGCTTACTGTGGATTAGGGTTCTGCGGAGCCGCCCAGATTTGGAATGGAAAAGGTTGTTTGAGACCACATTTAAGAGAAAATGAGAAATTCGGTGGCCTTCACAACCCAACGAGAAAAGCAAAATCAAAGGAAAAAAGGATACGCTGCAAAAAAGCAGATGAAAAATGCACCAGTAAAAGAAATTCGGGGAGACCGGGCTTAAAACGCACAAAGAAGATGAAACCAAGCTCGCAAGCAAGCTGGCCAGAGAAGGCGGTGAGAGGAAGGAGCTCAAAAAGGGGAACAGGTTCAAGGGCACAACCAATTTCAGAAAATGGAAATGAAAAAAGCAGATGAGAAAACCCTAGGAAAAAAGGGCACAACCAACCCGTCTTGGAATTCGGATGACATCGGAAGACACAGCCATGATAAATCACACCAATTACCATTCTTGAGAAAGCTCTGCTGTTAGCTCTGGACAATGCAGCTGTGAGAGCTGGGAAAGGAAAGGAACTAGTACGGCCATCCATTCCAAAGCAGAAAACCCATGGGCGACCCAATTACCCGAACCATTCCAATGGAGCATTTGGAGAAGCGCAGACTTACACAGCTCACGTGCGCGGCACATGACGACGATGAAACATCTTGGTGCATTGTATGTTATGTTGATGAGCATGTTCTTTCACATGCTCATAAATTCCACTTCTTCTGTTGCAACTATGAACTTTAGAAAAAGAACAAATCTTAAACTCAGTCTATAGCATTATGCAGGAGAACGGAGCAATACAAGAGTCTGAGACCGTCCATAAATACATATTGACAAGAAAGAGAGTGGGAAAAAAACAAAACAAAAAAAAAAGAGATCCAGTTCACATGTACAAGTGATTTGTATAACTGTATGTCATAATCCTATGATGTAGTTTCTAATTGCTGCCACACTATATCAAGGAAATTTCTAGTGCAAAAATTTCAGCTCTCTATGATGTTGAAGGAGAATTTGGATAGCAGCTGCGGTACTCCTGATATTATTGGTCCGTAAGTCTACATAAAAGAACCATCAGATGCATTAGTCCCAACTTATGACTCAGAAATTGTACAAATATGGCTGTGAAACAGGCTACAACATTATCAGGGCTTGATTTGGACGCGGAGTGGCTCACTGAGGAATCCACAACGGAAACTTGGAATTTCTCAAAATTTTCAAATTCGTGTGTTTTCAAAAGTACGTGGCAGAATTGTTCCTCGTAACTACCTGAACGTATCAATTCCATAAAATTCTACTATTACACTAATGTCTTCAATAAGGAACAATACCTTGTGGTTTTCATGAAGTTGACATAGAGGTACTGCAAGAAGCTTGAGATTCCTTGGTACAGTGAATTTCTGACTCTCAGGCAACTTCACAAGAAAGAGTTTTGTGCATTCCTATAGAGGCAGACGCTCAGAGTTTAGGTACTTGGAGCTCAAGAACTTGTACCAGGAAGGTAACAAATCCACAGTCCAATGAAAAATACATCAATTACCTTTGGCCTTTTTATATTAGGTGGCAGATAGGGATAAAGTAATGCATCAAAATCAGGCCTCCACCACATACCAAGGCATTCACCCACCTGAGCACTCAGCTAATTAGTGCACCGAACAAGTATATCTATCAAGTGAATGACAAGCATTCGCATACCTCCCAATCAGGCGCACTACAATCTCCAACAGCAGATAACTTGCTTGAGAGTTTGCGCTTTAAGCATTGTATATCTAGAGCATAACAAAATTATACATATAACCCTTGCAAATATGACGATTTTAGGTCAAGCTTTGATCTCCATATATGCATAACTAGAGTTAACAGAATATCCCAGAACAAAGCACATACCTGATTCACCTGTCCTCAAACGACCACCTGGAAGCTTATAGATCGAGTTCCGTGCTTGCAACAGCAATACGTGGGGGTGCTTGAACAATTCAACCTGTAACAGTTACTTTATCTATTCATCAATAAAAGAACTAATTACACAAGTAATCTAGGTCAGGGAAAGTAAATGGCCTCATACTCCATCTCTCGCATTCATAGAAACTACAAATTGCACTATACATATAGGAATCATACACTGATGGAGACATTAACTATGAACTCTATTATTCCACAGGGGTGCAGACTATCATTTCCTAAACCAGCATTTTGACCTACGGTATTTGCAAAGAAAATTCCAAATCCTCCTAATTGTAGCTCAACCCCTTTTAGTCCTGAGAGATATTCAGATCGTAATAAACAGGTCCAACAACAATTTTAATTTCAAGTATATCTATAGAACATGCTAGGACATCAGGCTTGACAACAGCCAGTTTATTAACTGAAAAAAGGCTCAATCAAGCTGAGGACTGCTACCCCCAATTCATCAATGGGCCTCTAAAACTTGTTTCCTCACACAGGTGTATATAACAAGATATCAACATAGGATGTTACCACATTTTTCCTCAAAATTAGAAGTAGAAGAAATTGTAGGAAAGCCATAATCTGTTGCTTCTAGTGAACCAAAGAAAAGTTGAAAGATCATTATAATGGCGCTAACCAACTAAGGACACTTAAAAACAGATTGAGCCTCAATCTTTCATTGATACTGGGAAGTGAAGATCAGAAACACAAACTTTAGTGCGAAAGACTTGGTGCGGTTCTGATGTTCAGCTATGAATAAAGCCTAATACTTGTCTATTTGGATATGATTTTTTCTAACGAGTGCCTCCATTTAGTTGTTGGTTCACATATATAAACCATTACAGTTAATCGATCTCACAGGGCCAAACACCATGACATCTTGTATAAAAAACAAAGAGATACTCCAATCAATGCTTAAATTTCAGCATAGGTCAACTTTCCACCGGCCATTCAACAGTCAAGCTGATAAATAGGCCACTAGATGGGGTAGGTTTTCTCAGGATAGAACTTGTAACCTCACCAACATAAGCGAAAATGCTTGATAACAGACAGAACTAATTTTGCTGACAGTATCACCTTCTTCTCACTTTGTTCTATTTTCCTTTTTGTTTCTTAAATTCCTTTACCCGCCAACTCCATATCAAATCCTTCCTCAATGCCGCAGATTTTTAACATGATTTTGTCGGAATAAAGTCTGTTTTCAGAAAGAGTAATGTTAGTAATATTTGCAAAAATTTTACCAGGCATGACCCCTTATTACATTAAATTTTTTATTATTATTATTACATTAAAATTATTCCTTCATTCTTATTCACAGAACATCCAAACATTAGCCAACGAAATCTCAGATAGTATCTCAAGCTAAATAAGAGTAAAATCTCAATCTTCCCGTCGCGCCCCCCCCCCCCTCTCCCGGGGACAAAAAAAATATTCACCTCGATCACTTAACAAAAATCACGAAATACATCAGCTGTAAGTAGAAAATGAAAAAAAAAAATCATTGGGTAAGTTAAGAAAATGCAAAAACCACAAAATACATCAGCTGTATCGATCACTTAACAAGGTCTATCAAAAATTCACAAGCAATTGTAAAAGGAGAAGTTAAAAATGCAAGAGTTAAATGGAGTTCTGACCAGCATTACAGCTTGCACACAGGTCCTTAATCCATGAGCATCATAGCTGAATTTCAACAATGGATAGAAATTAAATTAGCACCACAGCTACAGACGATTAAAATTGTTGAAACTAAATTTGCTCTATCTATCATCGTACTTGAATTTCATTCGAAGGATACGATCGGACGTGGTCTCGTCCTTAAACGGAACAGCTTCTTTGGAGCCAAAATAGTAGCAGTTCAGCGGGTAAATGTCCAACGCGTTACCGTAATTCTGCACGCTACTACCGTTTTGTACCTGTGGTAAATCAGTCTGATGATCCCTACTCATCTTTCTATAGCTTGTATTATTCAATCTGCAAGCGGTTGGGAGGACAAATAAAAACGGAGAAGAAAACGACCAGGTAAAGTACCACTACTTAGTCGCCCCAGCTGCGTCGGTGAAGGAGATTGGAGGATAGAATATTGTAGACTAATCTTGTCAAAGAGGAGTGGGAAAGGAACGTGGCCATTCCTGAGAGAACCGGAGGCTGAGAGCGGGAAAAAAAAAAATAATAGTCTATCGGCCCAGAAGTTTCCAGATAAGCGTACTATTTCACTTCGAAAGTGGAGGGCTGGTGCAGATTTTTTTTGCTATAAAATAATTACTGTAATTTTTTTTTATGTAATATATATAAAATAAAAAAATTATTAAAAATATATTTATGATGTAATTAAAAAAAGTTCTTTCGCAGATAAATCACTATCCAAGCATTCTTTACGTTTGTGACACACATATTGAAGGCTGAGATTGGGCAATAAGGGTCCAAAGCTTATTTCTTTGTGTTTGGATTTATAATTGTTGTACAACGAAAGGCCCATGATTCATTAGGCAAGGTGGGGTGTCTAACGTCTTTTGTTCAATTATTGAATGTATGACACATATGTAAAATTTAAATTTTAAATTAATTATTATATATTTAATAATAATAATTTATATATTATTAATGTATATAAAATTAATCCTTAAATCAATACATTCTAGTTTCCTTTTGTTGTATTCCCATGTTTTGTAGCTAAGATACCAGCACAAAAGTTGAATAGTACTTAAAAACCGTCATAAACCGTTCCAATTATATTATATGACTTGCTAAAAAACCACCGCCTGAACCATAATATAAAAAATTTTTAGTCGACTCCGTTCAAATTTTTTTATTTATATATTATTATAACATTATATTTAAAAAACTTATTTTTGAAGGACAGAGAATGTTTGGGCATTGGGGTGTCATCCCACGGATTTGCGGATAAGCACCTGTTACGAGTTACCATACAGAGTTTTCGTATGTGGATCGGGCCCAATGCGTGTAATGTTTGTAGCTTTCTACCTGGAAGGGGGGGCCTCCGCGATCCCAATTCACATGAATTGTGTTTGTGAAGTAAGGGGTTTGGTCTGGCACAATAGGGTCCAAAACTGATTTTGCTTTTACTCTTTTACAGGTTATTGAGTGTTTAATTACGTTCAATTAGACTAAAACTACAATCAAACACAAGTAGTACTCTGGGCTGAAGGCGTTTACGATCCTGTTAGTGTAGTATTCGAAATTGACTTGACTGGTTTCTTAAGATTTGATTAACTCGAATGGTCGAATAGTAGCCACCGAGTTTCTAAAGCCGGTGGTTGTATTATAACAGCTAATTAGGTGCTCTTACATTGGTGTCCCTTCGAAAAACTTTTTTCTTTTTTAAAGGAAAAAGGATTTCAAGTAACAAAGGAAACAGGGAGGTGATCTGGGATCATTTCAAGTCTATTGTGGCCCAGGAAGTCGAGAAAATCAATTTCATATTCTCTGATTGCCGAAGATACCTCCTTCTCACTGCATAGAATTGTCAAATTGTCATTGATGTTGATCGTACTTTTTTGGGGCAAAAAACCTCAGCGACCACTAAACTGTTTGTCAGATCATATTTTGATCATCAAACTATTTTTCGTTAATAATTGGCCACTAAATAATTTAATTAGTAAATCCGTGACCATTTAGTAAATAATTGCTCTTAATCTGTGAAATTAGCAGTACATGTGGTAAAGCGCGGAGGCAATTTTGTCCAACAACTACGTGATCATATTTCATAGATTAACTGCTAATTTCACAGGTTAAGAGCAATTTATCGACTAAATGGTTACAGGTTTACTAATGTTTTATGGCCAATTACTATCGAAAAATAGTTTGATGGCAAAAATATAATCCAACCAATAGTTTAGTAGTCGCTAAGGTTTTTAACCCTATTTTTTGTCTTCTTCTTCTTAGCTGTGCTATTCAACCCTAGCCTTAGATTTCTTATATTATTGTAAGGAAAAATCGTTTAAACCATTTTTTATAGCTTTGCTAAATGAATATTTTCAACTTTCACTTTTTAAATATTATTTTTACATCCTTTATAAATTTAAGTCAACAAAACTTGGTCTCAACATAAATTTTCAATCACTTTTAGTTTGAAATCACCACAAAACTCATATGTGATCATTTTTAGGTACAAAAAAGTCAAATTTCATTTGTTTAAGAACAAAAATGGATATAATTTGGGTTAGGTCTTACTTTTTTAGAGAAAAAAATGAATATATAGTTCGGATCAATTTTCATTTTTTTAGAGGCAAAAAATTAATATGAATCAGGTTATTTGTTTTAACTATAAATGATTTATAGTTTTTTGCCCCTAAAACTACGTGTGAATTATGCGACGGGTTCAAGGTAAAAAGTGATTAAAAACCTACATCATGACCAAATTTTCTTGATTTGAATTTATTAGATATATAAAATTAATATTTTAAAAGTAAATGACAACAAAAATCATTTTGACGAAATGTAAAAGACATTTTAAAAGATTTTCCCTTTATCACAATGGATAAAAAGAGACCAGAAACTAGTTACTAGTACAAATAACATAAAGAAATGTAACCAACATTTATTGGAAAATTACAACCCCAAAGATTTGGGACCAAAATCGATTAGAGGTGACCATTGAATAAAAGATAAAAACTCTTGTGTGCAAGTGTTCTTAAACCGGGTTTAGTTGAATCTCTCCACGACTCGACCTCTCTTTTAATCCAATTACCACTCGACTCTTGGTCCAGAAAACTTTAGGAATTTTTAAGTTATCTCTTAAATAAAATAGAGGGCATGCTGAGAGGCCCCCCAAATTGTTGGGTAATAACTGCATTTTTTGAACAAATCGAGAACTACATTCAATATTTTTATAAAGTTCAGGGACGTTGAATGATATTACAATTAACCGATGGACTAGTCCTACCCCGAAATGGACTAGTCCAACAGTAAGACATTTGTCATTATCAAAAAAAAAAAAAAAAAAACACATTTGTCTTCTTCTTTATATTAGACCAGCAGCATTTATGGCGTCCTTTTCAAATTTTCTTAATTCTGACCAATGAAAAACATCACAAGAAGTCTACTTCCACAATTCTGTTCAATACTTTTCTTTGTCAGGTGTAGGGTCTAATCAGCTGCGGGGAAGAAAATAATCTGAGTTCACATGTGCGAAAAGGAAAAGAATAAAAGATTGAGGAAGCTATATGCATGAAATGTTTAAGCTGCTAAGCAAAATCAATCATAATTAGGAATTTGGATTGATTTAGTTGGAGAACCCATTTATCCAAATCCAGTTTCAATCATCAAAACTAGAGTTACAAAGGAATCGAATCGCTCGTAAGTTGATCGCGAGCAGCGCGAGTTCGAAGTCGAACTGACCAAGTCGAACTCGATTTCGAATTCGAATTTAAAAATACTAATCTCGTTAGCTAGTAAGGCGACTCAAACTCTATTATATATATATATATATTTTTTTTTATTTTAATAGTAAAATTATATATATATTTCTAATATTTTAATATTTGTTAAGAAAAAAAATATTATTATTTATTTTTAAAAATAAAATAAACTATTTTTTAAAACTCGATCTTGACATTTTGAACTCGTTGAGTTCAAGTTTGGTAAAATTATATTAAAACTCAACTCTATTAGACTGAAACTCGGTTCGACTCGATTCGTTTACACTCCTAATCAAAACTATCCGCATGACATGTTTTTCCTACTAATTCATGCAGTATGTCCTTTTTTTGTTCCATTGTAGATTTGTAAGTGTATGTAGGATGTATTCGGATAGGAGATTAATTGAAAAAAAATGTGTTTGAAAAAATATTATAGTATTTTTTATTATGTGATATATGTGAGATAAAAAAATAATTAAAATTTGTATTTATGATATAAGTTAAACAATATTTAAATTTTTTAAAAATCATGCTAATTAGACAGATCCTACATTTTGTGACGATGGGAGGAAAAAAAACAGAAGCATCTTCTGACGAATTTCCACAATTCGGCAATATAACAATTTATGGTGGCTGGTATTCATAATTGAAATTGTGTTTTTTAAACTAATTGAAAATGATTAGTAAACTTAAGAGAAATTTTATTTATCCTTTTTTTCCCTTGTAGCAATGTCATTATTTTTTCTCTCATAAATCCAATTGCTCCCGGAGAAATTAGCTTAATTACACCACCTCAAAAATAGCTAAGAGGACAAGAAAATCATAAAGAGGGATTAAAAAGTTTCAGCCAAAAGGAAAAAGGGGAAAAACACATAAAAGCATTCAAAGGCTGCCGCAGAAAGACGGGAGGAAAAGAATCTTCTTAACTACACTATTTTATTTTATTTTATTTTTTTAAATTCTAAAAAATACACTAGTTTTACGGTTCAGGAAAAAGTACAAAATGAATTTTGCCAGCCGATAGGCCGTAAATAAGAACCAAAACAAAGTCAAAAGTAAATGTGCAATTCGTGGAAATAACAGTAAAACTTTTGAGAATTTCCATTTCTGTTATTCAGCTTTAAAAAGTGAATTTTTGTATATCATTTTCCAGTTTTTTTTTTTTTTTTACTATATTCGCAAGTCCTAGGTTCGGCTTCCGCCGAATCAAATACGTCAGCTCGTGCTTATGCATATTCCTAAGGATACTACTCTGATTTCAGTGTTCGGATAAAGTTTGGTGATAGCACAACAATTATTGAGCAGGTAAATTAGTTTACAAGACACTTGCAAAGCATATGGTATCCTTCAATACTTAAATTACGTTATTGTATTTTTATATTTTACATTATCATATATCACTTACTCTTTCTATTTTTACGTCATTAAATTAAGGTAGCCTTATTTACACGACACTTATAAATTATATCATATTATTCAATAATTTTTTCTTTTTAAGACGGGTGAGAGAATTTGAATTCAAAAATCTCTTATTTACAATCTCTACCACCAAATACAACTCTTCCCCGATATCACTCAATGGTTAAATTACATTATTGTATATGACGTGACCAGCTCTTTTATTTTCCATTATTAAACTAGTAGTATAATGCAGTGACTTTTTGGATACATCCCATGCAAAATCTTAAATCAAATTTATTGTGGCATTTTCTTATTCCTCATATTTGAGTTCTTTTTTTTTCCCCCTCTTTCAGGTACGCTGGAGAAAAGATTATATATGAGATTTTTGACAATGCATAAGTTTCTCTCCCAAAGCAACTCTGACAAGAAGGCAATTTGCGTTGAAGAATTGACCGTAATTCAACTTCTTTCATGACCATTGGGGGCGGTCCGGTTGGCCAAGAGTTCGAATCTCGACACAAACAAGAGTTTGATATATTTGGCTGCCCATAAGATAAGATTGTTTTTTTTTTTCCTTTTTAATTTTTATAAAGTGCAGCAAAATTAGAGCCCGAAGCTCACAAGAATATTTTACTCAACAACGGATCATCGGAGAGGAGAGGAGAGGAGAGTAGGAGGCGGAGGAGGCCGTTACCAAACTCTTCTATTCGAAGTCTCTCATTCAAAGTCAGTCCAAAGTTTATGATTGAAGAAAGATAAAAAGCTTTCCGTCCCATCCACTTCTCCTATGCATAATAGTCAGCGTCAACAATTAATTTTAAACATAAAATAAATCAAAAGAAATTGGACTCCTCTTTCGTCTCCTCTTCCAACTCCAAACGACCCCCGAGTCTCCTGTCCCTTCATCAATCATCACGAATTGGAGCTCAACCACTCCAAATAGCCGCTTCCCCAGCTCAAACTCCATAAAGGCAGGTTTTCCCTTCTTTCTTTTTCTTTTAATCTTGGTTTTATATTTGTAGATAGAAAATGGTGGGGTTTTTTTTTTTTTGCGGCGGTTAGAGGTGGTGGGGGTTGAGGAGGCGGGGGAGGGTGTTGGTGCTGTGTTCTTTACTTAATATGTTTCATAAAATTTGGTATTTTTCTTTGAGGACTTGTATCTTGAATTGCTTTGTATTGAAGTGAAGTGAGATGATTCTAGATTTTGATTGCGGTTTTCATTTTTTTTTTCTTAATGGGTTTCTTTGGGATTTAGAAGTTTGAGCAATAGGTCTGATAAAGTTGCGAATTTTTAAGCTTCACTTGGTAAAACCTGAAAAGATTGACAATGCAAGATGGAGCTTGATCGTATGATTTCATGCTCTCACTTTTTAGTGGATTGTTAAATCGATGCTTGAAAAATTAGATGTTGATGATGAATGAAAAGAAATAGGTGATGTTGTCATAATAATTGCTTATGCGCCTGCGGGGTATAACCTGGTTATTGTATATCAATGTTTGATTGTTCTGTTACTATGCTCTCTTGCACTACCCTTGACTAAAATTGGTTGTTGAGTGATGGAATAATAGTGAAGTTTATGTCTCTCTCATTATATCAGGTGTTGTAGAGGTGACAACTGACTATTAGGCGTTTTTTCTTTGGAAAACTACACATGGATCAAAGTGAGTGCCTTCAGTTGTTAATTTGTTCTACTTCATTTCAGAGTTACATATTTGATGCCAAGTGCTTGAGTATGAATGTGTTATCGGTATATGTTCCGATTTTGATAATCATGCCGTGATAATGGTATATCATACTGGGAATCCAGAAACTGTTGACACTCCTATGAAAAGTCTTTGATCAAACAACGAGTCATCGGGCAAGGAGGAGAGGTAATGTTACGTTAGGTCGGGTGGCATCACTTCCTCTATTGCGGGCATTGTTCTTCATGGTGTTGTAATAGGGTTTAGGAAGTTGGCATTTGCTAATGCAGTTATGCTTTGGAATTTGACAAATTTATTGTAACTCAAACTGGGAAATGTACTGTTAACTTTTGTGCGGGGGTTTTTTTGGGCCCCCGGGGGGCCCGGGGGGGGGAAGAGATTGGTTAACTTGAATGTTGTGGTCAATGAGACATGCCAATTCAAATTTAAGTTCCGTGAGTGTAAACCTCAACTTGGCAACAGTATGTTTATTAAATCATTGACAGAAGGAAATTTTCAAGCGTGATGGCCTTGTAACGACTAGATTGGGGCTTGTTGATGTTACAGATATTACTATCGAGGAGGGAGATGTAAAAAGTGGCCTTGAATTGGTGAAATCAGTTTCAGATAAGCATCTTGATCTTTTGAGACCATCAGCCCGGTATTATTCAATTTTTAAAGGTAGTTATTCTGTTTGTGTGTCATTGTCATGATGTTCTTGCATTTTGAAGTATCGTCCATATATTTGTTGTTTCTAGATGTTTGTGTCTTGCTCAATGTCTTTCTATTGTTTTACGATTTGGAGATGATATATCTCCTGACATATCTATGTGCAATATGTACTAAGTTCAAAAGGTTCACTTCTTGTATTATCAACCTTTTGTCCTTATTCCATTTCAAATTTTATTGCATTATCAATCTCCTGACCATGTTCCTTCCTTCTTAGGCACTTCTGTTCTTTAATTTGAATAAAGCTTCAGCTGAATGCCATATTCCCCACTTGGGCCATGATAGGTCTAGTGGCTAAGGTTGAGGCCTTAGGACTTAGAGGTCCTGGGTTCTAATTCCCCCCTTCTTGCTCCCCACTTCTTAAATCTCTCCCTCTCCCTTGCTTAGAGGGAAAAAAAAAAAAAAACTCATGCAAGTCTTTAGCTTGATTACACACTTTTACAGTTGTAGACTGATAATTTCTTTGTAGTTTTTATGAAAAAGAAAATGAATATGGTAATTACGTGTCTTTTAATGATAGGGCAAGTGGCAGATGCTTCTGACCGTGAGAAGGGTAAATATACCCTGATCAGAGATGCAGATGACTTCCAACCAAGCATATATGACAAGCCGTTACCCTGTTTTGGCTGTGGAGTTGGGTGGTTTTCGTACGTCTCTGATCCATATTTACATTTTTCATGATGCCTATCGTTGCTGCTAGGGGTTGTGCTGTTTCCTTGTGCATCTTTGTCTGATCACCACTTTATTTCTTCAGATTTCTATTAGGATTTGTTTGCCCAATAATGTGGTACTATGCCACATTGCTGTATTTTGGTAATTACTACAAAAAGGATCCTAGAGAACGAGCTGGGCTTGCCGCATCTGCAATAGCTGTAAGTACTCCATGCTCTGCTTATGCACTTGCGCTTACATAGCCTACACAGGTCTTTACATGTGAATTAGCAACCAAAATGCAGGCAATGGCAGGTCTTATATATGCCGTCGAATTTATTTCTTTACTTATTTTTGGTGCAGGCAATGGCATTTTCTGTTTTCTTGATGATCATCTTAGTGGTGGTTCTACTTTTTTAGCTCCCGCCTTGACAGTTGCACGTGCTTTGGAGGCATTGGCGGGCAAGGGCGTGTGATTTGGGGATTTGTATATTTTCCTTAACTCAGCTGCGATTTCTGATGTAGATATGATTTCTTAGAATCAAATTACACATGACTCCATTTTTCCACCAATCACTATACAGGGGACAAAAAAAACACAAAGAAAACCGTAGAAAGAAAGAAGGGGAAATGTAACCCGCCATCGAAGAAACGACTACAAAATGGGCTAAAGCTCTGTTATAGGAACCGTGATTGAGAGTGTATTCTAGGAACAATAATACTACTATGTTGTTGAATAAATCATTTTTTTGGTGCAATGACGACCATGCTCTACTGTTGGCGATGTTAACGAAAAACGACTGATAAAGAGGGTCCAATAAAAACATCTAAAATTCAGGCTCTTCAAATTAATATTGGTGCTTTACCATTGAAAGCGCCAGGTACTTTTTTTTCCGCGTCTCTTTTGTACATACAAATGCAAATGTATGCGCAGGACAGAGGAACCAGAATTCAACGATTAGCTTTATGCTTTACACCACCTAAAAGTCCCTGACGGTTTACCATCATAGGAGAAGGCTAAGTACAAAAATTAGATCCATAGGGCTCAAAAACTTTTCCGACCCGGTACTCGTGCAAAAATGCACCAGGGACAACAAAATATGAGACTTGTTCCAGTTCAGCCTCAAATAAAATGGGTGATCAATAGTTTGCTCAAACCGAAGCAATACAGCAATCAGAACTCATATTTTCATGATGGGTTCGCTCTACACTCACACCTGTTCTTAACTTTTCACTGCTAATCGTACATACTTGCCATCAATATCAAATCTGGAACTAGAATTGATCTGCAGATAATAATGAAATCCCAATAAGATTATGCTTCATAACAAGAATAGGAACAACCAAGTCCTTAAAAGCATCAATTTACCTTTTGCTGAAGAATTTCAGCAACTCTGCTTTCCTCAACTATTGAACCAGATTCCTTGAGAGACTTCAAAACAAGTTTTATCAGTTTCTTGAATTTCAGTGAGCCATCAGGATTCTGCCAGCATGCAGGAAAACAGTTTTACGTATGGAACAGAAATTTCATCATACACTCTACTGGAATGAGAAACATTGGACGACGACGACAATAATAATAATAAACTAGTGGTGTGGAAGAGCTAGAGGAAAGCAATACGCACAGATTTCAGGGATGAAGTAATCAGCTTCTTCCACTTTATTTTCTTCTTGTCATCTTCGTTTTTAGGAGAGGGATTCACTGACTTGTTGTCTTCAGACACAACTTCTTCATCTTTCTTATCCTTCTCTTTCAATTTTTTCATTTTGGTTTCTCTAACATGGATAATTTCGCCATTGCCCAATTCATCAGGCATATCAACCCCAGGTATTTGCCTGGCATCGACATTTTCAGACACCTTGAGCTTTCTCTTCTTACTCAACTGCAAATTATCATTTTCTGCCACAGAGTTGTCCTTCTTCGCAGCAATAGTATTAGACGGCTTCTGTTCTTTTTCTTCCTCAGTGGCTTCGACAGCTTCATTCTTTGCATTGTTTTCAGCTGGAACATCACTCTCCAAAAGGTTTCCTTCACTCTGTTTTGGCTGCTTTGCTGCATGAAAAGCTTTTGCTTTTGCTATGTGCTTCTTTCCTTCTGCATGGAGAAGCAGGGTTTGCTGACTAGTAACATTGGTATTACACAGACTGCAAAATAACACATTAACATTATGAAAGCTCAGATCTAACTTAAAAAAATGGGCATAGAAACCAAAATATCTTGACCAAAGCCAAGGATCAAATAAGGCAAACTGATGCAACAAATCCATCTACACAGAATAATTTACAGCAGGCACAAAGTTTCATATCCCATCCACAACTGAAGAAGATAACTTATTGATTTCCCAATGAAAGGCTAAAATATAACAATCTTTGTAACTGTCTCAGCTTTACACATCATCACCAGATCTGAAGGATCCCATTTAGCGGGTCTAGGGTTGAGTAAAGCTCATATTTTTTTAGTTCAAATTTCATAGTATGAGCCAGAAACAAAATCTCTCAAAAAATAATCTAAACAAGAATTGGAAGCAAAAGATGATTTCTGTACTCAAAGTACTTGCAAGCTAAAAGCAAAAGCATTAGGTGTTGCAGAGCATATTCCTACCTTACTGAGGATCTGGACTTCATATCATGCAGCTATACATTATTGCAGCCAAGTGGTTTTATTTTCTTTCCTTGAACATCTCTTATGTCAAGAATTGACACAATTTTCAATATAGGTACACGGGAAGGGAAGTACCTGCAAGACCATGGGGCACGTTGAGATAATCCAACATGTATATCAACATCTGGTTTCTGTTTTGAAGCACCGTTAGGCTTATTATTTGAGCCATTAATAGCTTTCCCTTGTCCCTTTGGACCATATTTTTCCTGAAAATGAGAGTATCATATCACTTTCAATCAGTCAAGAATGATCAAAGCTTATAAACACCAAAATAACTACATACAAGTTAATAATTAGCAAACAAAGTAAAAGATGAAGGCTAAATTCATCATAAGAAAGTTTCAAAATGAGGACAGGCAGTCAGTACCTCAGAAAAATTCATATCACAATTGGTTCATATTATTTGCCAGATTACAGACACACATACTCTAGCTCTTCCTGAAAATAGCACCCTTTTTGAATGATTCTCATATATCTTAATTGTTCATATCTATGCCTCTTAACATTTCCACTAAAAACTTTAAATTACTATGAGCATTCCAACCGAAAGTCCAATTTCAAATGACTTATGATGTCCGTGTAATGCCATACTAATACTATACCCATAATATGGTAATTGTTTGATATGTTTATCAATTCTTTTGGTCCTGAACTACTAATAACCCTCAGTTTCAAGCCATTCAACCCAATGCATTGAGTTCCACAAAGATTGTCCAAAGAAAGTACACATTTTGGCCAAATCAGCTTAGCAACAAGTCAAAAATATTGCTTTTTCTACCACATCAATTACGGTTAAAAAAATCATATTGCCATTAAGGTAATATGGGAAAAAAAAAAAAGAAATATGAACAGATAATCAAGAGCTTGTATAAACTCAAATAATAGACAAAATAACAGTTAAAAAAATCCAAAACAAGTAAACGGATAAAATAAAAAGGACAACAAAGAATGAGAAGGGCTCGAAACATACAGCTTCTGTGACGCACTGGGTATGGCTTTCAACATTTTGTCGCCCAAATATTTCTCCACAGTCAATGCACGATAGCTGCACAAAATTCACCGAAAAGAAAAGGATGAACATTCGAGTAGATTCAATTTTGAAGCAAGAATCAGCTGAATCCAATTCAAGAAATTAAATTTACAAAATTCACGAAAAAACAAGGGAAAGAGAGACCTTGGATGCAGAGCAGGTCCTAAAGTGGTTAGGCAGCTTTGGTTTCTTCAAGTTGTCTCCACAGTCTTCACACTGAAACCACACCATTTCTCTCGTGTGTGGATGTTTACCGATGAAGAAATTTCTGGAGAATGAATCCCGCCTACAAAATTGTCGTTGGAGAATCCTTTGCGGTAAAATCCAGTCGAAGTATAAAGGGCTTCCATTTGTCAGGGTTTAAGGCTTTTTTAAGTGTTTAGGGTTTTCGGTTTTGGGCTAATGAAAGAATTCGTAGACCGCTTTTAAAATTGTAAAGCCCACATTGTGAGATAAGTACCGACGAATGTTTGCAGCAGGACTTTGTTTAGAACGCATTTTTATAAATATTATTTTATTTGCATCATAATTATAATTATCAATTAATTTTTATATTATCAGTAATCTTTTTATTTCATATACATTATATCACAAAAAAATAACCTCAATAGAAAATTGAATAGTAATGGCAGCAATTGATTGAGTTTAGTAGTTCCTCATATAAAATTATTGACTCTGGAGATTTAATAATATGGAGAAGACAAAAGTTGTTTTAAGTACCGACAGAATTGGAAGCACCCCTCTTTCAAAGAGAGGATGATGGGTTATTAACATTTCATTCGATCTGAATGCTACACGAAGAGTGTAAGCCAAATGAGAAAACGGAAAGACCTAGGATGCAGAAGATCGTAATATGAGTCATTCGTCATATTTGGATTCATATATCCACCCATGGGGCACTACACTATTTATTCCTAATAATATCTCAAATAATTTCTTTTCCAAAAGCTCTATTCGCTTAGGCTAGCTTCTAAGTTCAATTCTAGTTAAAATAACTTGAATTATTCAAGCACTAAATGCTAATTCAAATGTAAAATTTAAAATTTATTTCTTGAATGTGAGTTTAAACCGTCTATACTTAGTTGATTTTTATTTGATCAATTGATCCATTAATCACATATACGATGCCACCTATAAGCTTGGTTTGAAATCTTATTTAGGAAGAAGAAGGGAAAAAAAAGCTTGGCCTCTATTTGAATTCTTCATTTTTTTAAAAACAATTTTTTCATTTACAATGCTACAATAATGCAGAATAAAAACAACACATTCATACAATATATCAAAAATAATTTCAAATAGATAAAAAAAATTGAAAAATAAAATCTACACCATTTTCTTCGTCCATCTATTACCACTATCGACCACCATCACAACCACAATTCTCTCCTTCCCATTTCTCCTTATTTTTCCATCTCTATCATCACTCTCCTTTTCTCCTCCATTTCTTTCCTCCTCCCTTCTCTTTTCTCTCCCCTTTCTCGTCACATCCACCCCTCTCCTCCCTTCCCTCCCCAATTTGGCTGCGACTAGAGGCATCAATTTGGCAAATTGAGGTCTAATCAAGGAGGGGGGAAGGGAAGGCGGGATGTGACGGGAAAGGGGAAAGGGAGGATGAAGGTAGAGGAAGAGGAAGAGAGAGAGAGAGAGAGAAAGGAGGGAGCGAGAGGGGTGGTGGGTGGCAGTGTTAATTTTTTAAAAATATAAAAAAAAAATTTAACCTTTAAAAATATTCTAAAATACATTCAAAAAACACCTTAAAAATACCATTAAAAATATCTCTAATAAAAGCTTTTTATATGTATTATTACAGTAAAATATTTCAAAAACATCCCAAAAAACTGATAATTTAGCGATTTTTTTTGTAGCTGTTGCTAAAATCACACACTCTCGAAGGACACTTGCGAGAACGGCAAGTCAGCAGTCGAAACTTAGCAAGCTGAAAAAGGACAAGATGATCAATAAGATGCCTTTTGCATTATTAATAAACTGGAAAAGTGACAATTAGTGCTGATTGATGGCTACTAGTGGTAAACCAATCATAAATTTTCTGTTGATCTGACAATTTAATGTCAAGCACAGGATTTACCAGGTGTCACTACCCCTTGGTTTTCGGGAGGAAAAAGGAAACAAAAATGTCACTCCCAAGTTGGTTTCCTTATTTTCCGTTGGCGGCAATTGACTACTGGATAAATACAAAGGTCTACCGCTTTCAATTTGCTCCACGGCAAAATGAACAGTGACTTGTGATAATTTTTGTTACCAAATTCATTGGCATTACAGGTTTGTCAATGCAAGATGTATATGGATCACCTACTCTTTCAGAGAATAATTGGATGGCTTTCTCGGTGCAAATGGATCAGACTTCCGAGACAGGAGCCTAGCTTGCTGGATCGATCATTGAATTCTTGAATTTTGCAGTTGAGCTCAATGTTTGGCTATCATTCAAGAACAACAAGAGAGGAATTCACACATTTGATATGTAGTAACTTGTTTGAATTGCTATTTTCTAAAAGTTTCATTAAAAAATGTATGGTAACAAATTGATGTTTATGAAGTAAAAATACGTTTAAAAAATGTGCTCATAAAAAGTGCTGCTTAATAGCCTATTCTAGGTAGATTATCGTTCTTCTTCGTAATTATACCATATTTCCTCGTGATCTGTTCTTCCAACTATACTTTTACCTCACATCAGAAATTAGAGGTCATGCATGAAAAAGATTATACTAACAAGAACGTCGCCAGACAAATCACTGATAGGTTTGGAAACTGAAAGGATGCCTACTTAATTATTCGAGCTGGATGTCGGCCCTTTTATAATTAAGTTATTCCTATACTAACATTTTCTTTAAACTTACCCTGCTGACACATTCAAAGAACTTGCTTGCTCGGGGACCAGTTGGCTCAAAAATTCAAATGTTACAAGACGAACCAGGACCTGAGTTGTTAGCGTGTTACTGGCTCAATGCTTTGATTGTTTGTGGTGTAAAGCAAAGCAGCGCATGAGAGGCAAATCAGGACAATGATCAGAAAAGGAAACAAAAATTACTTGTACCATTAGAGGACGGATCTCAAGTCTTCTCTATTATAATCCAATCATTGCTTGCAAGTAGCTACGTAGCAGTACAAGAAGATTTCCACGAACTCCAAAGACTTCTGCATTCCTGCGAGAGAATTATTGACCGACTATTTTGCAACTGTCCAAATTCGCTTCTTAAGCGGACAAGGATAGCTAATTGGGCAGCAACATAAAATCCCACCTGATTCACGGTATGAGTTCACTTACAGGCGTAGAAAAAAAGGCATTTTCAATCAACAATTAATAATTAAGTACAAGAAGGTGTGCTGAGAAGGACAAGAAGGTGCTTCATACCCTGATCATCCGGCCCATAACTTGGCTGTATTATTCTCTTACTTCTCCTTTAAGTTAGTTAAAAAGGGTCAACGTCAAAGTTCTACAGCCTGATTTTCCATAAAACTGCAGTCTTGAGCATTTTTGTGCTGGTAGTCTGAGAAACTGAAGCTGAAAAAAGGGTTATTTTTATATAGAAAGAATCGCTATCTATGATTGAATGAGCTGTTAAAGATTATTAATGTACTGTCTTGGCACTTGCCCGAAACCCAAAACTTTGCTATGGAAGGATATTATTATACTCAAAAAGAATGGCCGTAATACGTACAGGTGATCTGCAACAAAATAATTTCTTCGATTGGGATATTTCTAAAGATCGGCTAGCTAGATGCTTTTGAGTTCGGATTGCCCAAGAACAATTCAGCAAAAACCCATCAAGAAAACATGGAAGACGCCAACATACACAAATACATTTGCTATATATATAGAGTTGGTTGGCAACGGAAACGATAATAGTTGTTGTTTAATTTAAGGTAATCAGTTCTCGAGACACAGCAGCAGAGAGGCAGAGAGGAGAGTTTCTTTCCGCGGTTTCATTTCATAACCGAGTAGTAGCTGATTTCTGGAGGTAATTAAGCACGTCATCGGACCATGAGTTTCTTGACGGCTATGGATCCACCATCGAGTTGCTATTTCAAGGCATCTGACGTTTTGCGTTAAAATACAGCCACAAAAAACAAGTACGTATTGTCGGTCATCAAAACGGGAAGTAGGTATGCTGTTCCTATACACTATTCAATAAGAAAATTATTTTTTTTTTGATCAAGGAATCCCACTCCTATATTTTTTAAAATTATAAATATTTATTGTTAGCATGCACAATAGTACGGTTTGATACGAAAATGCAAGAAGCTTGGAGCCCTTCAAGGGCTACTTCTATTTTTTTTTGTATTTATTAAATTGATCGTCGTTGAAAATCAGATTTCTCCTAATAACTCATGTATTCTCGTCTGATCTTAGAAAAGCTGTTTAAATCAATGCACAAGTATTTGAATTAAAACTACAATAAAACTGATTTTGATTAATTAATGACAAGAAAAACATTCGTGATTAAGGAGCGTGATTGGATTGGAATGTGACGTTAGAGGGTAGAGGCAGAGGAGGAAGAACCGGCCTTCATGCTAGCTGTTGGCAAGCCTTCGTGGGCGGGGACAATGGTTGTCAATGTCCAACCTGTCTCCATTCCCATCGATCGTATTTATTCCCAAAATAAAACTAAAGACCCTACAACCGGTATTAGCTGTGATAAATACAACAATCAACACTAATCTCTCTTATACTTAATCTGTGCTTAGGTGGCGCGTGGAAAATTAATCACATTGTTAATTGAAGTTTATCTTGCATATGAGTTTTCGTTTCTTAGTTTGTAGTTCACAATAATAAAATATTATTATTGTTCCCTCGTTTAAAAGTAGTATGTTGAATTGTAATCATCCAGCACTGAGAAGGACAGGATATGAGTAGGAGGAGGTCATAACTCACAAGTCATGGGAGCTTTCCTCTTTTATAAAAATGCGTTTGAATTAAATTACACGCATGTTGTAGGGGCTGGACACGAATGAATGAAGATGGTCGATGGATTTGAAGTCATGTCTTGTAATTAAGCTCAAATAATTTATGCTAGTATTAATTATTTTTCCTCTGGGGATTAACTCAATTCTAATTACAACTGTAACACACACACACACACACACACACACACACTGCCTGCATCTGCGCTACGCCAGCATTACCAAATTGATCTCTCTTTTCTTTGCATATCAAACACGTAAAGAATATATATATATATATATATATGGATTTCTTAAATTTTGAATCCAGAGTGAGATTTGTAATTTTTTTTTTTAAATCGAAACGAGGAAAAAGTCGAAAGAAAGGAAGAAGGGTCTCACTAACCAAAAAAGTATAATTTTTTTTTTCATCCCATTTAAATCAAGTGCAGCGTAACTTTTGATTAAGTGCATGGTTGTTTCTTGCTGCATCATCATCCTCCAAGAGAACTAATAAATGCTCTAATGAGTAATGAATGGTCGCTCCGTTTGGATTAGCTATTTTTGGGTTTGTTTTTTAAAAACACCACTGTAGCATTTTGAATCTGAAAAACAAGTCCGTTTGGATTAGTTGTTTTTTGGGTTGTTTTTCAAAAACTATATAAAAAACTTTTATTGTAGATTTTTTTGGATTATTTTTAGAGATATTTTTGAAACATATTTTTGAGTATTTTTAGAATATTATAATTTTTATATTTTTATATAAATATACATTTATGCATTTATAATCCATTTATATTTACAAATGTATAGATGTATATTATTATAAATGAGTAAATTATAAATGAATATTATATAAATGTATAAATGTATAAATGTATAAATTATAAATTTTATATTTTTATATAAATATGCATTTATGCATTTATAATACATTTATAGATATTTATAAATAAATATATTTATATATTCATATAAAAATATATAAATGTATTATATTATATATAATACATAACATAAATATATTTATAAATGTATAAGTGTATATTATTATAAATGTATAAATTATAAATGAATATTATAAATATATTATACATTATAAGTGTATATTATTATAAATGTATAAATTATAAATGAATATTATAAATGTATAAATTAATATATTATAAATATATATTAATATTATGTAGAAATGTATTTATATAATTAATATAAATGTATATATGTATTGATATTATGTATAAATGTAAAATTAATATTATGTATACTAATATAAATGTATAAATGTATTAATATATAATACATAATATAAATGTATATTTAAATGTATAAGTGTATATTATAAAAATGTATAAATTAATAAATTATAAATATATATTAATATTATGTAGAAATGTATTAATATAATTAATATAAATGTATACATGTATTAATATTATGTATAAATGTAAAATTAATATTATGTATATTAATATAAATGTATAAATGTATTATATTATATATTATACATAATATAAATGTATATTATAAATATACGTAAATATTTATATATTATGTATAAATGTACATTTATATAAAGGTATAATATATTATACATTATATTATATATAATTTATATAACATATAATATTTATGTAAATATATTATAAATATATAAAAATATATTATAAATAAAATCAAATATTTATAATATGTATGTATAAATATATAATATTAGAAATGTATAATATATATAATATACATTATTATTAATATAATTTATGTATAATATACATAATTGAAATATACATATTAATATATATTATAAAACAAAATTGAATAAATATAATTATAAATTTATATATAAATAAATGTATTTATATAAATATATAATATTTATTTCAATTGATATAATATATATAATATTATACATAATTGAAATAAATATATTTATATTAATATAATATATAATATATAATATACATAATTCAAATATACATATTAAAATACATAATTCAAATATACATATTAAAATACATATTTAAAATATACAAATTGAAATATACTTATTAAAATATACAAATTAAATATACATAATTGAAATATATTTGGAATTATTTTTGATATATTGTTTGGATATGTGTTTTTTAAGTTGTTTTTGAAATACACATTACTGTAGCATTTGGAATGTGAAAAACAGTTTTTCAAAAACAGGTGCAAAAACACTCAATCCAAACGCAGCCGGTGGTTTTTGACACTGCAATTCAAAAGGGCTTCCACCGATTGGAAAGTTTCTGCTTTAGGACACGTTTTTTTTCTTCCTGTGGGATCACTTTTTTCATTTCACATGTATCAAATCATTGCAGTAATTTTTCTAGACAGATGCAATCCAAACAAGAGCAAAAATTTGCGGCAGGTGAAGGAATGATCGAGGAAAAATTTTGCCATAATTCGGCACAGCAAGAGGTTTGAAGTTCCGACAAACAAAGGAAATGCAACATGTTCTTAGCAGCAGTGAAAGATGCAGATATGGACTGGGCGGGCGGTAGCAGTCTCAGGTACTTTTTCTTTGCTTTTGACTGAGTTGATTACTATTTTAAAGGTGTTTCTTGGTGTTTTGATGTAAAAGGGATTGGAGGTTTTAATGATTACAGCCACGCTCCAAATTTCCAATAATACAAGCCGTGACCTGTGTCCGCTAGCCGAGCCGCTTCCTCCCTCCTCCTAAAGTTAAACGTGTCTTTAACTTGATCCACCCCCCGTCCCATCAAAAGAACCCACCACAAATATCCCATTATTATTCTTATTCTTCTTTTCTTATCAACCAATGGGCGACTCATACTACTAGTATCTGTTTATGGCCGGGAAACTTCTACCATACGATTACTCCATTTGTCTAGAAATGAAAAGAAAATAAGTAAAAGTGCAACGACTTAACTTAATTAGAGCAAAATCAAGTATGGTCCTCATTAAGATCGGATTGGAGGTTCACAATTCATTGATTCATTAATTCGGTGGTAAAATTAGTAACATGTTAAATGCAAAATGTCCTTTTTTTTTTTTTAAGATACTGTATAGCTACTGCTGCTGGGTTTATTTGGATAGGAGTTTATTTGGACGATTTATTTGACTGTAGCATTTCTTGTGATGTTATGTGATGAATGTGAGATAAAAAAAATAATTAAAAAGATAAAAAGACGATTGAGATTTGTGAAGCAAATTATTTTACGTGAAATCATCTCAATCCAAACAAATCCCTGCATCAATATTCTTGACATGCAGTTGTTGACAAAACAACAGCCTATTGCAAGACTTTATTTAAAATGCGAGACTAGGGCTACAAACGAGCCAAGTCGAGTCGAACTTTGGGCTAATCGAGTCGAGTCTCGACTAAATTTTACCAAACTCGAGCTCGACGAGCCAGCAAATTTAAAGCTCGAATTATTTTATTTTTTAAGAAATAAATAAAATAATATTTTTTCTTAATAAATAATAAAATATTAAGGATATATATGTAATTTTACTATTAAAATAAGAAAATAAAAAATATATATACTTAAAATAAAAAAATAAAAAAAATATATATATATATACTCGAGCTCGATATTGATCGAACTCGATTCGAGCGGCTCGCGAGCGGCTCGATTCGTTTGCAGCGCTGTACGGAACTGGGTGCCCAGCAGTAAGTAGCTCCTGTAATGAAGCATCAATGGACGAGACACACCAGAGCAAGATTGACTTCCAATTAAGCAAACTACCCTCCCTCCCTTGCTAGCTGCCATTTGCTCCCTTCCTACCGAAAACCATCATAAAAATATTCAACATTTGAAACTTGGGCTACCAGATTTCGTGCCATTTTGCAATGCAATAGTAGTAGTAGTATTTCATGTGATGCGGTATAGACTTCTGTTGCATGACGCTTTTCAAACGGGATATTTGTTGTAAATTTTTAATCTCCATCCGGGCTTCAATCATGCATGATGGTTACCCCAAAACCTAATAGAAGCATGTCAGCGAAAGAACATATAGTATTAAAATGTTTGGAACTTTTTTAAGTCAAGACCCACAACAGTCTTTTCTTACGTGGCTAAGCCAACAATCAGACAATACATTACTGAATAGCAAAGACATTGCCCTTCTAAACTAATAATGGGAAACCTTAGAAAATGGCCATTGTTGGTGATCTTCACTAAATTAAAAATCTAGTGCCCCTAAGCTAATGATTAATGCTAAAACATTTAAGTACCCTAATGATGTATACCGTACAGGAGTGTATCCCAGTTCCTGTTGCATTGGCATGGCATTTAATTATGGATCATTTACTATGATTCCAATCAACGCTCTTCTAGGCGAGTTGGTTATAAGGTAAAATGTAAGGTGTAGAAGTGCATTAAGGTGTAAAAATGCAGTAGAGCACTCCTTTGACCTATAAAGTAAAATGTAAGGTATAAAAATACAATAAGACGTAGAAATGCAGTAGAGCACTCCTTTGATTTAGAGAGGGCAGAAGGGATATTCTCCCTCTAATCCTCTTGGCTCAGTTGGGCCGGAGGAGCAGGAGTTGTTGATTAACAAAAATAAAGAGAGAGAAAAGAAAAATCCGTATCTACTGTGTCGCGAACTCTCTATATAGGCCAAGCCTCTGATTCAGGCTGTTGAAAAAAGACAAATTGCCTCAGGGTTGAAAGGGTATTGGGTGGTAGTATCCCACTTAGCAGCAGGTCCCCCCTATAGGTACATTTGTCCCACATCGGGGTTGGGGTTGGGTTTGGGTTGGGATATAAGTCCCTGGGATTGCCTCAAGAGTTGCCGGCTTTTGAGGTTAATTCTGGGATTAGGTTTATAAAACAACAAAAGTCTGATTCAGGCTGTTGAAAAAAGAAGAGAGAACAATATAGCTTTGCTTTAAAAGAACCTCTCTTCCGCCTAAAAGCCAAACCAGATCATAATTCCATGGAGCAAGATGGAGACTCACCACCTTTCTGGTCCCAACCTTCAACCAACGCCATCTTCCAACACCAACGCCTTCGCCGCCGACCACCCTCTCCTATCTTTAACCCGGTTTCCCTTATCCTCCTCCTACCGATCATAGCATTGCTCGTTATATTTTTCTTACTTCCTCCATTTCTCACCCATACAACTCAAATCCTTCGTCCCACCTATTCAGTTAAAAAAAGTTGGGATTCACTCAATATCCTTCTGGTAATCTTTGCAATTCTTTGTGGGGTTTTTGCGAAGAGAAACGACGACGTTTCGGCGGCGGAAAGTTCCCATGATGATGAACGGGTTGCTGCTGCTAGTGATACAACTGCTCAGCAAGCTGAGAGCAGCACCAATCAATGGTTTAACACTCCTCTGGTTGGACTGGGAGGGACCGGGGTTAACCGGTTGAGAAGGAGCAGTAGTTCTTATCCGGATTTAAGGCAAGGACCGCTGTGGGAAACCGGAGAAACGCGCCACCGGTTTACGGATGACTTTGAGGTGTACAGGCATTCGCGGCGAACTGCTACCGAAGAACTTCACCACCGTCCACGGCGGAGCGGGGCGGAGAAGGAGGAGACTGATGTTAAAGTGATCCCGGTGGATACTTTTGAAGTTCATTCAGCTAGGCCTCCCTCACCTGAACCGCCGCCGAAGCCAGCAACACCACCACCTCCTCCTCCGCCGCAACCGCCTCCACCGGCGAGATTGAAGCGGAGGCGATCACTTCACAGCGTTCCACCACGTAAAGAAAAGTTGGGAAAGCCACGTGTGGAGCCTAAGGTTACTGAGGCTGAGTTGGAAGAAAGCCCATTACGACCTCCGCCTCAGTCATTTGCTCCTCCTCCTCCGCCGCCGCCACCACCACCTCTGGAGTTTGAGCAAACTCCAGAGCAGAAGCTCCAGCGGAGAAAGAGCGGAACGGCCAAGGAAATAACAACAGCCCTCGCTTCTTTATACAATCAGACTAAAAGAAAGAAAATTTTGAAAAAAAGAAACAATTCTGAGAGTTCCAGTGAGAGCTCTCCGCCTTCTGTACATTCATCCGTTCCACCACCAACGCCCCCGCCGCCACCTCCTCCTCCTCCACCACTTCCTTCTTCTCGGGTCTTTCAAAATCTTTTCAAGAAAAGTAGCAAAAATAAACGCATATATTCCCTTTCCGGCACTGCACCACCACCTCCGCCTCCGCCACCGCCTCCTCCAAATTCAATATTCAATAACTTGTTTAAAGGCGGGAGCAAGAGTAAGCGATTTAACTCGACGTCATCAGCTCCTCCTCCACCACCCCCACCTCCGCCACCTCCGTCGTCTATCCTGAATACACTTTTCAAGCACGGAAGCAAAAGCAGGCGGTTCAAATCAGAGAGCTCATCTCCACCACCACCACCCCCGCCGCCGCCACCTCCACCAATGCAACAAATGACATCAAACCGCAAGCCGAAATACACTCAACCTCAAACTCCAACAACAGTACCTGAACCTTTCCGGCGACGACCATCGTCCACCGGGAAGCCTCCGTTGCCGGCGAAAACAAGTATTTACTACGAGGATTACATAAATAGCGGCGCACAATCGCCACAAATACCAACGCCGCCTCCGCCACCACCGCCGTTTCCAATGCCGGACTTCAAATTCGTGGCTCGCGGAGATTTTGTTAGAATAAGGAGCGCTCACAGTTCAAGGTGTAGCTCTCCGGAACTGGAAGACGTTGACGTAATGTCAGTCAAATCATCGGAAGCAATGGACGGTGCAGATTCAATTGGGCAGTCAGTGTTTTGTCCAAGCCCGGATGTGAACCTGAAAGCTGACAATTTTATTGCTAGGCTCAAAGACGAGTGGAGGCTGGAGAAAATGAATTCAATGAAAGGGGTGCATAAGACGGACCATGGACCAAGCCCAGAATTTGTTTGAGCCCAGTGATCAACAGGCATAAGCTACGCTGATTTTTCTTTTTCTTTTTCTTTTTTTTTTTGCCCTTTTTCAATTTTCCACTTATACAATTTTTGCCAATCACAAAGGAGACCAAATTACTTAGTTCCACTAGCTTATGGTTGAGAGTATGTAGATTGTGTGTCATTCATGGGTGGCAAAAAAATTGTTGCTCTGGTTGTGTTTTTTGTTCTAAATTGGAGCAACTTCTTGCAGAGGATGCGAGTTATATCTTAAGCTGTTTGGTTTGATTGAATTATTATTGAGACAAAAGGACTATGAATTTGGTACACAATAGTGTATAATGCTACATTTGACATGGCTCTGATTGTGTTCCTCCCCCCACAACACACAATCCCAACCCCACAAATTCACTTCAGAGCTTTCTCATCGTTGGGATTAGTTTAGGGCTGAGTTTTGCTGCATGGATGGAATACTGGATGTGTATATGCTTTTTTGCTGTACTTATAGTAGTGAATGGAAGCAATTTGGTGTTGGTCTTTCCTTTGGGAGGAATGGGCCTTTGTTACATGACTAGAGATTTGATTAATTTAGGATCCTGTGAACATTTGCAGGGTAAAATGGTTTAGGTGATAGTGGGGTTATGGCTACCAGCACTTTAAAAGTTGAACAGGTGATAGGGAACATACGGCACAGAAATACCATGGGAGTGTTTTTTAAAAATTAGTTTTTTAAATATAATAAAAATTTTTAAAAAGTACTCTAAAAGGTAATCTAAAAATTAGTTTAAATTTTTAAAAATATCTCAAAATATATTTTAGAAACGCTTCTACTCTTAAATATTTCAAAATATTTTCTGAAAATATTCCAAACTATAATTTAAAAATTTTGCTACAATAAAATTTTTTAAAAACGCCCTAAAAAACAGCCAATCCGAACGGAGCCATGTATTAACTCTAAAAGCTAAGCTTCTGGCTGCTGAGCCAATCCTTCCTAGTAGTTGAAGACACAACTATTATTAAATGTTACTAATAAATACACTAATCTTTTTGCTTGTGGCTGTGACACTTCGGCTAGTGACCAAATTAAAACAGAAAAAAGAAAAAGCATCAGAAGTATATAGACTTTTCCTATGATTGGGATGACCGGGTAGCTGATGGAAGACGGTGTGTCGATGGGTAAGAAATGAGATGGAGAGTGGAACAGAACAGAATATGCTTAATCATCTACTTTTCGGCTTTGCATTTTTTAATAGCTGTTTAGTTCCTTGAGCTTGCGACTGAGAGCCTAAAAAAATCTTCCTTTTCCTTCTGTCCTTTTTGGTTTTTGTCATTAAATAAAACAGAAGAGAAAGAAATGCAGGCAGGTTGATATGCCGCCTACACAATGAAAAGGAGCACAGACTAAATCGCAAGATTGTAAGATTGTGCATTGAACGATCTTAGAATCAGCATTCAACCATATAATAAAAGCGGAAAAGCTAAGACTTTTGTGTGAGATTCATGATGAGACTTCTTTAGATTGTAATTTCCTGGCAAATGCCTCTTCGGACAAAAAGCAAAACAAGAAGGAGGCATACCTCTTCACGAAGGAACGTTCAAATGAACCAAAAACAGGCTATAATAAGTTATCAAAAGCAAAAAAATTTTCGAGTTTGGACTTGAAAGCATAAGCAAGCTTTTGAGTATGGATCATCCCAATCGATCCCGCTACGACTATAAAGCTTTTTGGCCGTTGCTTTGCGGAAACACCACCATATGTTACCTTTAAACCATAACTAAATGCCCTTGGCTTGTTATCAATCAAGAGCTTGGATTCATCGTGATATTTGAATAAATTTGATTAAAATCTTCGTCATTTCTCATTTATATGCTTGCCAAGACTAAAGTTTTATAGCCCCTTTAATGAATCATTCCCCTAATTTTTGTCCACTCGCTAATTGCCCCATCATTCAACGACGGTAGCGATTGATCTACATTTTAAACGATTGAAATTTTTGCAATTCAAGGGTCAAAATTTCTTGTTCCATCCTCCAACAGTGAGTTGCAACCTAAGAAAACAATACCGAGAAAAAGGGCCCCTAGCATCTCCCGTTATATAAGAGGGAGACTAGAACATAACAATTGATCACTGAACTGATGTTTTCACCATCACGTTCGATCTACAGCCCTGTTTTGCAAACTTGTTTTCTTGCCAAAATTTTCTCCTACAAGTTTCTCAACAATTTTAATTAAAATAATTTCCAAAAAAAATTTCCTCAAAATTTTAAAAATACACAGCTCAAAATATACAAAAACACACAAAAAAATTTCCCTTCTTTCCTTTCTTATTCTTGCTCCCCTCACCTCTGCCTACCGCCATCTCCACTGCCAACTAACACCGTCGGACACCTCTTCCGGTGCTAACCACCTCTTTTTTTTTTTTTCTCCTTTCTTTCTTTCTCTTCTCCCTCTCCTCCTTCCTACTTCCCTCTCCCCCGCCACCCTCCTTCTCCCTAGCACGATCCGATCAACCGAATCACTTGAAATATTATGTTAGAGGGTGGCGAGGGAGAGAGAAGGAAAGAGGAGAGGGGAATGGAGGGGAGGAAGGGAAGAGAAAAAGGAGGGAAGAGGAAGGAGGAGAGGGGGAGAGAGAAAAAAGCAAAAAAAAAAAAAATCTGTTGTTATCGGCGTTAGTTGCCAAGAGACGTTTAAGAGTCAACTGGCAGTAGAGATGCAGCGATAGAGGAGAGGAAAAAAAAGAAAAGGAAAATGAAAAAGGAAAAAAAGTTTTACGTCTTGAAAATTTTTTCTATAAATTCTATAATAAGTTAAAGTAAAATTTTGGACAAACACTCAAAAAACTCGCTTGTTAAACGGAACTTACAATTTTTTTGAGACCGATTTTAACTTTTATGCAAAATTATGATGCATACAGCAGTGATCACATCCTCATTGCTTTTCACTTGCACGTTGCACTGACTGAAGCATATTAATTAGATGGCCATGAGTAGTACTCATGATGTATGCTTCTTTCAACTTTCAAGTGTCAATTGTGCCTCAGCTTTGCAATTTCTGTGGCCTCATTCTTGATGAATTGGGTCAGAAAGTGGGGTTGGAAACTTGGAAAGTCATCAATTCACAGTCACTGGCTGAAGGAACAGAGAGCATACATTAGAATACTAGGATTACAAAACACTTCCGAGAGGCCTGGATTTGTTAATCTGTGCGTGTACACTGAGCAGGAAGGACCACAAATGAACAGAATCCACGACAGTTTTGAAGCAAATGTTGAACATTGCGCGTCTACGTGGATAATCCCTTGCATTGCATGGGAACCCCCTTCTAACAACATTAATTCTCTAGCTGCATAGATGAGATCATTCGTAAATCACGAACTGACATAGCATATTGCCATGTAGATTTGTTATTTCTACCTCGAAGATACACTTCTGTTTAATCTTTGGGTACCTTTTTTAGGCCTGCTTTTAGTTCGTAACCTTCTTGCAGCTTACCTGTAGAACACTATGAGATGTCTCCAATAATTAACTTGTTCTGTTTGAAGGATTTACCACGATTCACAATCTAGCTTAGTCAAGTTAAGCTCGAATTAATTAATTAAGTGGAACAAAATACTATAATGTCAAGAATGGGAAATAAATTAATGCACACATGCAATTGAAAAAGTAATTGAAAAATGAGTTGATGACGTGAACAAATAAATTTTTTATAAATAATTCACTATCCAAACAAATAGTGCCTTGAGTAGTTTTTTTTTTTTTTTTTTTGATAAAATAAGCGTAGCGCTGCATCTCGTCCGTCCATAACCTTTCTCTTCTTTCCTCCAAAAATCTCCCCAAAAACAAAAAAGGCAAAACCCCATCCTTCGTTTTCTTTCCAAAAGTGTCAGTCCCAAACTAGCCCTTAAGCCTAGGGTTTAAGCCCGCCACTCCGACCAAATTCCACCATAACGGCACCAGCAGCACCACCACTATGAAACTAACTTCACCCGTGATAATCGAGAACGCCCACGACGACTCCATATGGACGGCCACGTGGACACCAGCCCCAGAAGATTCTGCCCCTATCCTACTTACTGGATCGCTCGATGAAACCGTTCGGCTGTGGGACCCCAAAAAGGACAGTTGCATCCGGACTAACACCGGCCACTGCCTCGGCGTTGTCTCCGTCGCCGCCAATCCCTCCTGCAGAATGGCAGCCTCCGCCTCCATCGATAGCTTTATTAGGGTTTTTGATGTTGCTTCCAATAATACCATTGCCACCCTTGAAGCTCCCCCTTCTGAAGTCTGGCAGTTGCAATTTAACCCTGAGGTATAAAAAAAAAAAAAAAAAAGAACGGCCCTGTTCTTTCGGAGTAGATTTTTTTTGTTTTTACTTATTTTGGATAATAATGCAAATAATCCAATTTATATTTTATGAAGTATTTTATTAGTTTACAGATTGGATAATGCTAAAGTTGGAGTAGGACCTAACTTTTCTTTTTTTTATTATTATTATTATTTTGGAAAATGTGGTTTTTCGTTTACCATTTTTTTTTTATATATAATGAGCATTTTTAGCTTAGAAAGTCTGCCTATAATGTTTTTAGTTCTCATAAAGCTGTGTCAGCTGTCAGAGCTTTACTTGTAATTTTAGTTGATTGCAAGTGAAAAGGTGAATAGTACCAGAGTCGTATTCAGAACTTAAAAATGGGGGATTCTAGGGCATGCATGACAACTATTGAAAAATTTCAAATAGTTCAGGCATATGAATTTGAATTTGAGGAAATTAACCATTATTAACATGTGAAACCGCAAATATAATGTATTACTTCACGTAGTGCAAGAATGTTGTGAGAGGTTCACCTTTTCTTCTTTTGAGGGAAATAAATGAATAGAGCAAAATCAGGTTTTATGCTGGTTTATAGCTTTAAATGTTTCCACAAGAATTGACTTAAAAAAGAGAAAAGCCTGTGTAAGAGATTTAGATGAAGTGGAAATTGAGGCAGGAAGTTACCTACATGGCTCAACAACAATAATGCAATGAGGACTCTAGATTTCAGGGTACCTGTAAATTGGCTTTCTTTTCTACAGAGATTTCTGTCTAAGCTAGTTCATGCTTCCCATAGCCACATTACAGTTTTGTTTGTTCCTATACACTCTTTGCAGTGTCAGCCTTCTCTTGCAGTAGTATTACTTTTGTTGATTTCGCTTATTGTCTTTAAACATGATTTCTGGCTAGACACAGCATATATGTGTTGAATCTGCCTTTGGTATTATATGTCAATGTGTTTCAAGCTAATTTGAATTTGTTGGGCTACTCCCGGAACGATTATAAAGGCTGAAGA